TCAAGATATGAAGTCAGATTTACCATTATTTTGTGTATCAAGATTGATATCATGAAAAATGAATTATGTCCTACGAACAATAACCACCGTCACTTCTGGAATAACAGCAAAATAATGACGTCAAATCATATCAATTTAAATGAAGCTATATGGTTTACTGTCAGCATTAGTCAAATGCTTGGGGCAGAATATTTATCACAACTTTTTATCAGATGTCTTGTAGCTGTTTGAAAAGTCAAATAAGCACGGTTTTTATAGGTTACATACTAAACGTTTTAGATTTAAATTTACGAGATAACTTTGCTCTTTATCATTCAAAACGTTTACTAGCATAAAATACGTTTAAAATCGGATATTTTTCCATATTTTTTTCCCATGCATCCTACAGTTTTGCAACTTCAGAATTCTTTCTCTTGATAGTAAATGAACTTTCTTTCCTTAGGAAAAATGTGTACAGGAAGATGATTATTGTATTCACAGATGAGGTATTTTAAGTTATTAATACAACTTTGTACTTTAGTTAAAAAAGTCGACAGTCAGCTTTGGACTAATATAATGTTCATTAAAAATAATTTGTAAATGTGTCAATACTGCATATTTATCTAACAGGCCTAACTTCTTTGACTTATCAAATATTTGAAGTCATTTCTTAAGTCGTCTTGTGTATGAAATCCAGAGTGCGTTATAATATTTCGCATAACGGGAAACTTTATTCTGTTATTTTTCGTTCTGGTTACATTTTACAAACAGTGATCGGGCTGTAAACAAACACCGAACAAAATGAATATTTTGCAATACATGCCTTTGTGTTTTGAAAATTTACAAGTGGTATGTATTGCTAATAACTAATTAAACCTCTCAGACCGATAATAAAATGGAATTTATAATACTAGAGTATTTCTTGTAAAGAAGAGGCACGTTAACCCAGACAAATTAATAATACTCCGTTATCACACTAAAAATAAATTTATTTAACCCTAATGAAACCATTTTTTAGTTTTTTTGATTGCAAAGGGATGTATACAGGCTTAGTTTGATAACATTATTTTAAATTCATTGTCATAAGGTAGGATGATTAATTTTTTCCTGTCAAGAAAGTGAATTCATGGAAGTTTGACCAAACTGACAGAATATTCACAAATTATATCTGGATGGCAACTGTGAAAAATTCCTTATCAATCCAAAAGTAATCTTTACATAACATTGAAGGATTGTTTGTATTTATGAATCGTACTTCATTCATTTTGTTGTAGTACCCTTAGTGTTTATTAACTACTGTGCCTTTCATTATCAGTTTAAATATTGTTTAATGAAAGCTAGTTATCCGAGCTTTATAGCTTACATAATCTTAACTTCATAAGTACTTTATTAGTACTCAATTAGTTTCAATTAATAATATGTAAATACTTGAACACCTACTTGAATTAAGTGTAAGTGAGATTTATTTCTATTTACTTCGATAGTAAACATGTACAAAGAATGACTATCGAAGTGAAATTATATGGAACAATAAAAACTCCATAGATTCTTGAAAAGCATTACAATGAATAAACAACATTTGATTTTTGGTTTTTGTATTATTATCAGTTAGTATGTACTAAAGATAAATCAATAATAATACATACCTTTGTTTTTTTTCTTAAAAAAGATTTTAAAACAACTTGTTTACTTCATTTCAAACTTTTTTTGTTTAAAGAGTCGACAGATTCAATAAGTGAAGTGTTAAAATCACTTCTTCACTATCTCAATTCTAATACAACATGTAGTATAATATTTCCTTTAATACATGTAAGTCTATATTACTAAAAAAGTTTTTACTATTACTATTATCACTATTATCACTACTAGTAATAATAACTGGAAGTTGATCAAAGAATTAATTAAAATCATAATATTCTGATTATCTGTTTCACTATATATGAATTCCACAGAAATATACAACTTTTCATTCTTCTCAATTCAGAGTCCGTATGACATTTCAAATTTTTTAATAAGTGAACTACATTGAATCATTTAAAACATATCGTTTAAGTTCATCACCTCAGTATGATCGACACGATTACATTTCTCATTTGAACTCTGAAAGCTTCATTTGTTTTAAGTTACTAAAAAAAGGAAGTTGCTTATGATTATTTGGGAATTTATGAATTTCAATCCAATTTTAGTACAAATAGTTATTGATAAAAAAAAATGAAAATCTTCCCATTTATCAATAGTTCTATAGCTGAGATTATTTCTTTATAAACAGTATTTTTTAAAACCAAAAAACGTCTACTCTTTGTCTTGAAAGATATACTTCATGAACAGTATAAGGACTGATAATTATATAAACAACTGATTTATTGAGTTCATTTATTGACTGATTCGCTTATTATTTGTAAGATCAATGATCTACTGTTTATCCCACTATACGATGACTGTGAGTATCCTAACAATCACAAGTCCGATAAACAAATTCCTCCTCTAGTCCCATAAATTATGTCCTACAATACCCCAGCCTATCTTGGATTTAGTCTTTACATACGGTGATCTTAGTCAAATGAAATCCCTCCCACCTTTACGGAAAAGTGGTCGTGCAGTCATTTTATCCAATTTTATCACTGATATGGTCTACCTTGACCGAAAACTGGAACATGGACTCATGCTGATCGATTAGAGTAGAATAGAGTAATTTCTGGAAGTTATACAATCAAGTCATTCAATCATTTTTACCCTGAACCGTCCCAAAGAACAAGCATGGCCATCCCTGGAAAGACCGGCATATTCTGCGTTTACTAAGACAAGAGATTAAATGTTGGAACGTCACCATCAGTCTTGGAGCTGCAAATACATCGAAAAGCTACGGGTCAGTATGATATAGATGTATGAACACAATCCGGGCAGCTCAACAAAATTATAGAAAGTAGTTAGTCTTATCTGTAATGAAGCAGTCAAAGAGACTGTCCTCGCACATAAATTACTGATCAAAGGGTATATCTCAAATGATAGAAAAAGCCCAAGACAAAGCAGAGGTTATGGCAAACTATTTCAGGACAGCTTTCAATCAGGAGCCTATTCTAGACGAAAAATCAGACTCAAACACAAAGCAAAAATAAATCGTCTGGTCACTGTGGACTTCAATCGCGACGACGTATTAAAGACTCTTAGCACTTAAGACGTGTAAAAGTCAACAGGACTGGATGAACTGCATCTCGAAATCTCGAAAATACTTGTGCAGTATATCGTTGCTCCACCGACCATGATATTCAATATGTCACTTGATTATGATCAGTTGCCCATGAACTAAAAGGATGCACTTGTCACTACAATGCACAAGACAGTGTAGAGACGACTCCCATTATGTACAGACCTGTCAGCATCAGCAGTGTTTTACTTAAAATACTGGAAGGAATAATTAGAATTAGCATAATGACATTCGTGGTAACCGAAAACCTGTTAAACAACAGACAACATGGCTTTAGGCAGGGATTATCTTGCATAATAAACCTCCTTAAAGCAAGAGAGTATAGCGTGGTGTCGAATCACACTTGATTATGAACACCGCTAAAAGACTACGTGCCAGTAAACCAATAATATCCCCGTAGGTCAATATCAGAAGGCAGATGATGGCTTTAGTCGAGATATGTTTGCTGGCGATCTCGTGGTATCGAAAGAATACCGAGATCGTGCCGAAGGAGTACAAGTGGGATCGGCAGGAGAAAGTACGTGCGTATAGTCACAAACCGCGCAAAAGTAGCGGAGTTCAATGAAAGGCCAAAATGGCTGTCATTAGAACAGTTTAACAAACGAGCACAGTAAAACAATCACTGATACAATTGGTTATAATAATAATTGTTTCCACTGAACCACTCGCGTTCTGTTGACAAAATTAGGTCACTACAAGTTAAGTGGTCATAGGCTCCAGATCATGAAAATTCTGTGGATGTTGTCTGCATGGATTTTAGCAAACATCGGATAGAGAGTATCAAAAAATAGATTACTCTTGAAGTTGGAAAATATAGGAATTTCTGGGCCTCTCCCAATGTGTATCAAGGGTTTCTTGGTAGGGCATAGACGGAAAGTAAAAATAGATTTCAAATGCTCCTCTTGGAAACCAGTACTCAGGAGCATACCACAAGTCTGTGGCCTTTAGATCGCTAAACGCTACTGCGAGATCACAGCCTAAGGGGTTTAGAACCTTATGAACTTTAAGACATATTACTAAGTTAGCTAATAATGTGTTCACTACAATATACACAATCTAAGTAGTATCCAAACTTGAAAACCGAGTTCAGGTTGCAAGGCCCTATTTAAAAGGAGACTCGAATATCGTGGGAATGTACAGAGGGAAGCCACCCGAGTGATTCCAGTACTCCAGGGTCCACCATATAAAGAGCGGTTTGAAAAGCTATACCTCTTTACTTCGTCCTACCTTAGATAGTCTAATTTTGACGTATATAATACTAAGAAATAACTTTGGAGTAGAAAAGCCAAGAACGAACAAAATACCCGTGGCATACAGGTTTTCTTACTGTCAACAAGTCTTTAAACTTTTTCCCTGAAGAAACGGTGTCCACCACATCAATTGACCCACTCAAAAGAAGACAAGTCACTCTCAGAAGCTTACTAGGAATGGACTAACATTGGGTGTAGGCCTTCTGTCCGCAATATACATATCTAAATCACAAATTTTGATGTAAGCTGATGCACAACCACAGTTAACTATCCATTCGGATAAAGCCCATAAGAAAAGCATGCCACTGAACACAAAGCCCAAGACAGATTATGTGGACGAAAAAAGGTACTTTTGTTGCGCAAGAATACAGACAATTTTGTGAAATACAAATCACATTTGGACAGTACTTCTTATTCGTAAATTGCGCATCAAATCGTTGTTTCATCTTTACTTTCTGACAACTAAATACATTTAAGATAAAATGTCTGTCAATATAGCTGATAAAACAGTACTTGATTAGGCGAAACGTACTGGCCAATTCTTTTGAATACTGAACTCTCTGTGCGGTACTTTTCAAGGTAGTACTTGTTACACACACATGGCCAGCGCTATTTCGGATGTTTCCTTTGTATCATGGGCATCAGCTGCTACGGAATGCACTAATCCGACATTTAAAACAGCATTAAATCGACCATGGCCTAATACTTCAATGCACAGAGATGTGTTATCTGTACTTGCAGCTGTTACTAAGACAATCAAAGATAACGGTGGGAAGGAATCGCCCACTGAATACTATGCCGCCTTGGTTAGTAATGTTTGATAATAAGTATTTGTTCATGATTCTAGTTGACTCTTTTAAATGAGTCCTCTGAAAAAGTGGCTGTTGCTTATTTACTAAAGCTAGTCATGTGCAAGTCGTAAGTTTATCACCTATTTTACAGTCTTTAGTGTCCAGGATTCACTGTTACGCAAAACATGTGGAGAAGCTGCCAAAACACTTATCAAACTTTTGCCCCACAATATCGGCACTGATGCTTGTCTCATTAAATCCGTAATGTTTAAAATCGTTTTGTCAAATCTGTAGGTCTTAACGTGCCTCGGTAAACTTTTACGGGCTCAGTCGTATGACTCTTGGTCAACCGAATCCATTCGCCATATATATCGTCACGTTTTGCGTTTCGTTGATATTGAAAAACCCAGCATTCGTAAGTCATGTCATTCATCAATTGTTGATATCTTGGGTTCATTAAACGTCGTCAGTTTAACTGGAGATGTCGTTTTTCATCCCGCTTGCCATCAAACCCAAGAACATCTGTGCTCTGTTATCCGTCAAGAGACAAGGTATCTTTTTAATAGTCTAGTAAAATTTTTATCATCAATTTTTTTGAAATCTGGGTATTAATATTATGAGAATCTCAGTCGTTCATTATCTCAACTATTCACTCAGCATCAAATACTAAGTCGCAATAAAGCTTTTAGAGTTTGTGTGTATGTTCACCGTGCAAAGTTGTGCCAAAAGTGGCTAAAATCTAGCCAAATTTGTACGTGCAAAAATTCATTATTCGGTTCGTTCCTACCTTCACCATTGGATCACAACAGTAATAATTCCTTCCTCCAGGTTCTTTTGGAAATTTTAAACAGTATCTTCATTTTTACTCGTATTACTTCATTTTGTTCTGATTGCTGTTTGTTGCTCTGTATTCACATATCGTATTAGTAATTAGTACATTCTTCATTCTAGCTCGTAAATTTGAACTTTTATTGAACTATGCATTACTATAAGATGCGTCCCGTTCCCTGTTACTACCATGACGCAATGACTGCTATTAATTTTATCCCCTTTTCCATATGTATGTATTATAACTCCATTAAACACTGGTTCAAATTATCTAAATAAATGTCTGATGAGAAACTAATAAATAATTTCTCTTAAGGTATTTTTCCCAATTTTTCATAATGGGATTATACAAGATATTCCAATTAATTCCGTAAAATTATGTAACTGATTAACAATATTTTTTTAGACAACTAATATCCTCACTGCATACAAAGGATGTTCATTGCACTCGCCTCTTGCATTGTCTAAATTTATTAACTTCAATAATCCCTTTACTCCCTTCAAAAGATGTAAAATTGGCCTTTGAATGTGTTCTTGAGTTAGCGAACTTCCCAAATCCACTGGTGAGTATATATTTTGAATTTGCTTACCCCTGAATTTTTAAAATGCTTCATTTTATTAAGCAAGCTGTATCAACATACGGAATTCATTATATTCTCATGAAACTAAATACCGAACTATTCATACTAGTAAAAACGCTAAATAATGTTCGTACTCGAACTGAATCAAACTGAAAATTCAGTGATAGTTTGTACGATTACGTATGTCATTTCTGTTCATAACAACCGTATTAGTCATTAGGGCTCAAAACTTAGTAATTTCATTTAAGTTATAGATTTTTAAAGTCTCGATTAAGTTGACGAACTTTGAACCTGTCATGTTTACAACTTAATCCATAGCTATGCAGATTGCTTCAATAACTTAAATGATGATACTCAATGTTTGGTTGTTAGAACTAAAATAGAGAAAAGATGTCCACTAGAATTTCATTTAGTTAACTAAACATTTGCCCTTTCTATTACAGGTCTGTACAACATAACTTTGTCTAAAGTATTGTGATACTGAATAGGTTAAATTGCAGAAAAAATACAAAAGAAAACTTAGTAAAGACAGTTGTAGAAACTGATAAAATCCAAAGTTAATCTATTTGTTTTCAATATACTTGTACTTATCTATCACTAAACAAATATTTTATTTATTTCAACACATAAACATTTTTACAAAGCGTTGCCAAAATATATATGCGCCACACGGTAAAAAAGATTGTAAAGGAATAGAAAAAGGAAGGTGAGCATGATAAAAAATACAAATAAATAGAAATTAGTGTATGAGAGTGAAAAAATAATAGTAGGAGAAACAGAAGGAATTCTTCCAGTTAGAAAAGTAAGAAAGTTACAGCAAGACCGCCCCTAACTTCTTTGCTGAGCCATGCCTGATAATGTCTCAAACCATTAAACAATGATACGATGCCTGAAATTCATGGCCAAATTACTGAGTTATAGATTCGCTCATAAAATTTTTCAGACTTCCTTAATTCAAGAGCTTTTTGAAACCCAGAATGTATATATCGCAAAACTATAAAAGCTGATCAGTTGAGGTTTTTTATTCATATTTTACCCATTACCTATTCATGTTGATAAATAACTCGTTTTTGTGTTAATCATTGTACGCACTACACTTGATTTCTCTTCTTTTACTCATTAGGTTGTAACCAAAGTGTTTCATAGTTTTAAAATAATGTTTGATTCAAAGCCGTCATTAAAAACTTTACCTATTGATATAGCTGCACGTCTGTTAACAGCACTGTATTCATGTCGACCCAATGATCCAAATGTTTTTACAATATCTACTACAAATAATACATGTACTGGAGTAGACGCATTAATTTCATGGATGCAAGCCCTCATCTCAGGATGTGCATATTTGTGTGACTTTTCATTGTTAGCTGTGAAAACTGAGGATAATGAGTTGAGGAAAACAATTGAAAATGTTGAACGGTTCAGTATTCAACGCTTGGCTAATGAACACTTAGATCGTTTGGTTAAAACATTAATGTCTTTATTGATATCTACTCCACTTCCACAATTAAGAGAACCGGTTACTCAAAAATTAAATCAACTTTTTACTGAGGTTGTTGTAAGTGAATCATTTCATAGATCTTACTATCTACAATTTTATTTCTGCATGTTCAGACTTTTTAATATATATATATATATATATATATATATATATATATATATATATATGTATATATATATATATATATATGGCGCATATATATTTGGTGCCCCCCTGTACCAATATTTATGTGTTCAAATAAATAAATAAATAATATATATATATCATCGGATTACTAAGTTACTACTTTTGTCCTTGTTAATAACACAGCATTCATAACGTCCTAGTAATAAATTATCTCCTTGTCCATTTCCAGTTTTTAATTCCCAAGATCCTTAGTAGCTAGATAACATACTTCCAAGGCTTATTCATACAATCGCTGTAACTCATAACTTGCTAAAAACATGTCACTGGCTGCTACTGTGCATTAAATGACTTGGTTAGTGAAGTATAAAACTTATTGCATACCAATAGTGTTCAACTGGATGTAAAAAACGGTATTTATGTGTTTCACACTTTGATAATAACACTTGTCCAGTGACAACCTAAGTTTTTGTTACTAAGGGAAATAAACTGGTAGGCTGTTATAATGAATAAAAGCGTCTAATACTAGAAATCTAAGTTACATTTAACTTTACTTATTCATTGATTTGTATTGTGTTTAAACAGGCTAATAAGCTTGATGAAGTATTAGAAAACACTTAACCAACTTATTACTAAATAGGACTAGTAAATATACAATTAGAAAACCTAATTAAGTTTTTCATTGGAGAGATTAACTCAATACAACTAATCGTTAAAGATCTCATTACTATGTGAATCTGATATTTGTCCGAGATCTGTTAGTGTTGTCCTAATAGCCAAACATTTTCGTAAAATTCCGTAATTTATCACATTTTTACCCAAAAAAGAACAAAAATATCAACCGATTTTACACGAGAAATGCAATTAGTTTCTTTGTATGTTGATCCACCTATATATTGCCAGTTGCATTTTATTTTTATTCCAAAATGCTGCGCCATTCATAAAGTAATGGGGATTTCATACGATATTACATGCTCGTATTAGAAATAATGTTGTGTACCATCTTAATTGTGATTATTACTTCATATTTTATTTATTTATTTGAATACATAAATATTGGTACAAGGGGGCACCAAATATATATGCGCCACACAAAACAATGATAATTTGAAGAGAAAGGAGAAAAAAAAAGAGAGGGAACAATAATGGGGGAAACAGAAAGGTACAATCAGAAGAAATCTTTCAGTTAAGGAAAAAGCAACCACTTTTTATGAAGAAAGTAAAAGAAGGTTACAGCAGGATCGCCATTGGCTTCTATTCTGAGCCATACCTGATAACGTCTGTAGCCACTGTGTTACACCGTCTCTCGGACCCCAGCCAGGGAGTCGTGAAGGACCAACACAAGCCAGCCCTTTGCAGCTTTCTTTCATACCACGACACCATGTCATATACTGACCACCTCTCCGCCTTTTCCAACGAGTCTCAGAGTCGGCAAATAATGCGGTATAAGTCGCTCTGGCTTTCATTATACGTGCATTGATCTCATCACTCACGCCACCACCAGCATTTTTGCAGCTACCCAGATACACGAATTTCTTGACTATTTCTATCTGCTCACTAAGTAGTGTGAGTGTAGGATCAGGGTCCTGCCAATCTTGTAGAAGTACTTTGCACTTCGAGGGTGCAAAGTACATACCATACCTACGGACACTGATTGCCAACTGATTAAGTGCGGATTGCATATGCTGGGCATTCTCGCACAGTAAGACAATATCATCCGCATACTCAAGGTCGAGAAGTCTTTCTCCAGACAACAGATCCACACCACCATTACTTACATCCGTCAGAGCTGTTTCCAGAATGTCATCGATGGCAAAGTTGAAGAGGAATGGTGAGATTGGGCAACCCTGTCTAACCCCACTGCTTGAATGGAACAATGGAGAAAGGTGGTTGTATGCCCTCACTCTGTCTGAAGTGTTTACATATAGAGCCTTGAAGATGTTAATAAACTTCTCAGGCACACCCTTCTTCAATAGACAATCCCAGAGAACAGTTCTGTCCAACGAATCGAAGGCAGCCCTGATGTCAAGAAACACTACGATTGTTGGTCTTTGATAAGTATGACGGTGTTCTAACATTTGGCGGAGGGTGGAGATATGATAAATACATCCTCGATCAGAACGAAACCCAGCCTGTTCATCGCGAGTCAATTTTTCTCGGGTTTTGAACAACCTACGAAGTATAACGGAAGCCAATAGCTTGGACACAATCGGAAGTAGACTTATCCCCCGATAGTTGTTACAGGAACGACGTGAACCCTTTCTAAAGATAGGGACAACTATCGACTCATTCCATGACGTTGGTACACTCTTTAGTTCCCAGACCTTTGTAAACAACGTCGTCAGTCCCTTAGTCAGACAGTCACCACCATCTTTAAAAAGAGCCGGAGGTAAGTCGTCTGGGCCCGGTGATTTGTAACGTTTCAAGAGTTGGAGTTCCTTGCGGACTTCCGCCTCATTTGGTGGATCAGTCGTCACCGGCCATGGAGGGCAGGACAGTCTGACCGATGTTGCCGGAGCAACAGGCCAGTTGAACTCCCCTTCGAAGAATTCTGCCCATCCTCCAAGACGTCGATGGATGTTAGTGATTAGCATCCCGTCATCCTCGCAGATTGTTTCGCTCACACCAGACTTCTTGCTGCCAGTGGCTCGGATGAGTTGGAAGAGCTCCCGGTAATTACCAGATGCAGCTGCTGCTTCCAGCTCACTAGCACGCTCCGGCCACCAGGTTTCTCGGTCCTTATGCAAGCTTTGCCCGATTTCAGTATGTAACATTCTTCGTTTGTGGTCAACCTCACGGTCACCCGGAGTAGACCGACGGGCTTCAACCAGTTGTAAGGAACCAGAAGAAACCCAGTGCTTGTAAGCGGGACGTTTCGCAAACCCACAACAGACTGTACCCGCCATTTTCATGGCGTCATGCAATTGCAACCAATGCTCATCTATACTTTTCGGTGGAATGGTAGCTAGCCTAGAAGCTAGCTCGGTTCGCTACTTACTAGCAACAGAAGTTGCAACCAGCTTGCTAACATCAATCCTTTGGTGGCGGTCATTTCGTTGGCCACTGAAAAGTAAGGTAAGATTGGCGCAGACCAGGGCATGATCAGATTCCAGATAGGTACTCCAAAAGGAGCGGCAGTGTTGTACACAACCGCGCCAGCGGTAGCTGATCGCTATGTGATCAATCTGAGTCCAGGCTTGAGATGCAGAAGGAGGACGCCAGATGGCACATCGGCGATGACTGCCGAAAGTTAGTGCTAGCCAGAAACAGGTTGTGGTCTGTGCATATTTGCAGTAGACGTTCCCCGTTATCTGTAGTGCGACCAACATATCCCCATCGGCCACCTAAACGACTCTCTTCTGTGCCTAGACGCCCGACCTGAGCATTCAAGTCTCCGGCTAGTACTACAATATCTGTCGAACGCACTTTCTGGAGAAGAATAGTTAACTGGTGGTAGAATTCATCCTTGGTTGCATCCGGGCTGCAATCTGTCGGGGCATAGGCGGAGATGACGCAAAGACACCGTTTCTCATGCCTATTTCTTCTCACTTTGATGGAACTTTCTAATGTAACAGCACATAACCGACTGTTAATGGGGATCCAGTCGATTAGTGCTGCCTCAGCTCTAGCGCTTAGTGCGACACCAACGCCAGCAAGACTAGACGAAGATGCCACAGGGTCCCCGGATAAACGCACATAAAACAAGCTTTTTGAAGCGACAGATGGAGAGCAAACTTGTAGTACTTCACCAGAGTCTTGAATACGGGTCTCGGATTGACAACACACTTCAATATTAAGACTTTCCATATTTATCCAATATTTTAACTGTTTAGGGTCCTCAACATCTATGCAAATGTCTGTCAGTTTTGTAATCACCCAGTTAACTGTTAGTAAATACATTGACCGGTCATTCATAAGCACCGTAAAACCTGATACGAATGTGAAATTCACCGAACCACTACATCATAGCAGCACATCGAGATAAAGTTATCGAAAAGTACACCAAAGTTGTACTTTCATTAGTGGTAGTTCATAAAAAGGGTTAGAAATGACGTATATGATTCGAGGATATAAAATGAATTCGGGGGATAAAACTTTCAAAATAACTCTGAAATCCACAATCTAGTAGTTGACAAAAACTAAATGTAAATGTCACCCAAAGTCTCCAACAAGTAATTGCGATACCATTTGTGATTAATCAAAAGATTACCGATAATTCCATTTAGTTTCCACTGTTATGTTACGTTATGTATCTCTCTAGAATAATAAGCAAAATGTAATGTTCCTTACCCTTACTCCCAGTTTTTAACCTGTCACTTGCTTTCACAGCATTCCATGTTTAAGGTAATGCCCTCAAATTCTACTCTACATTGTAGTGCTTACTAGCTAGTGCCACTGACCATCACACAGTAGTTGTGTGTACCTACACGTAGTTACTGGGTCCCATTTGCTTTGAGTATGTTTCCTTGTGATGAAGTCATGAAACTTAGTTGAAAGCAGACAATCTTATTGTCCACAACTACTTGAATCTCATGAATTTGGAATTTTTTACTCGGTTTTACCTTCCATCAGCTATTAATTACATTCCACAAGTTGATTCCTTTGGAAGATATTCTGTCAGTTACAGTTTTCTACGTAACATTCAAAATATTATGATATGTTATCTTTCCCTTCTAATTTTAGGATCCTCAGCTAGTATCATGTCAGTTAGCTGATATACTTCCAGACTTTATTCCTAATGTCCTATGTAGTTTTATTACTGGTCTTCAATATACACACTATGAAATATGGAACCATATATTATGTTTAATTGGTCGATTTATTATGATTATTTCTAAAGTGTTCCCTTCTAGTACAACACTAAATTCTAATTCTCTCGTTGAATTATTGAAAGTAATTTTGCATCTACGTGATTGTCTAGTTGATGGGCCTAAAAGTTTAATCAATCTTATCCATGTTGATCCGGAGAATTTTCCTCTAATTGGATTAAATGATTTGGGTGAAAAAATTATCGATGGACTGGATAGTGTTTGTTTATTGGCTGTTGAATATGTCGGTCCAGAATTAATTCTACCAGGAAATATATTTTCTTTGGAAACGATTATTGAAGAGTTGTAAGTTTTATATATATATATATATATATATATATATATATATATATATATATATATATATATATATTGAGTGTTCAATATGATACGTAATCTTCACTTTATAGCACCCCAATTTTATTGCATCTAAAATAATCCTCAGTTGTGACAACACTTATTATATTTTCACTGTTCAAGTCATCCCTAGCAGTCCTCAAAAGTTAGTGTCTTCAACTGTAACGTTACCAATTCCCTGACACAATTTTCAAAACCATAAATTTTTAGCTAGAATCCTGTGCGCACAAATGAGCTTATCAAATTCAGTTCATCAACAATCATTAGGACTAGACCTATGATCAACATAAGACCATACCGTGCACGTTTTGTGTCTTCATTAACACATGAGATCGACGGATATCCTCGAATTCCACCATTCTTATAGTCTTCACTTCCCTCAATGAAACGTCTGAGCCATGTTTTCTTCATTGGGTTATTTCTACATATACACTTAACGTTTATAAGTTTCGTGTGAAATTTTCCTCTCTCTCTCTCTCTCCCTCTCTCTCTCTCTCTCTCTCTATATATATATATATATATATATATATATATATATATATATATATGCTTTGTGGATTAGATGACTCAAAGACATTTAAAATGAGTCGATCATGGGTTTTTGGTTCGACCCGTCTAAAGTCTCAGTAATTAATCTACTTATTCGTCAATAGACATAATTAAACTGTTTCACCGTGAGTTTTCATTGTATCTCTGAAACATTACGAGTCAGTCAGTCAGTCAGAAACAACGTGGAACTTCGTACGTACGTACATAAGTTCGAGTTGCCATACCACATTAGCACAGAGATTCAGTTATCATCTCAAATCCCGTAGTGGCAGAGTAGTGAAAGTATAAGTAGTGACAGGAAACGTTAAGGTTTGATGATGTTATTTAAGGAGTATAGTCCAGTGGAGGAATATATTTGGAAAGAAAATAAAGGACATGGACAATTCAGAAGATTAGAGTTTGGGAGAACACAGAGAGTGGATGCACCTGCGCCATTGCAAACGATTTTTAGCCATGTCACTCAAGGTCTCTAACCATCGGTTGCTATCATCTCGCGGATCCCAACCAGGTAGTCTACATCTACCAACATGGCTCAGTCCACTTGTCAGTGACTTCACTAAAGAACTAGAGTTATATTTTGTGACATGTAATTTTGAAGAACATTTTATATAGATATAGAACTCATCCCTCATGATTTCAGGTATGTCTTGCTGACGAATATCAATTGATATTAAGTGTATTCAAAGTTTCCCATCGATCACCTCCAAACATAACATCAAGCACAGTTTATATGGTATGGGACCACCTACAATATCGATCGCCTTGAAACTTGACTAATATGATTAAATTAACTCTAAGGACCAAACCAACATGACATCAGTTTCTAATCAATGGATAAATTATTCAGAAAATATTTAATGTTACGTGGTCAAAGTCATCTCATTATCGCTAATGATTTTTGGCAAAACTTTTATTTGCTTTAATTTTTGTTAAGGGAACTTAGTAATGTGTCTGAATTATGTAAATCATGTCTAAGGAGTTTTTATAACTAGTGCTCTACTCGTTAATCACCTCTAAACTACCTAATACCTCGCTACTACAATTACACTAGATTAAGTAGAATTCAAATCTATTGCATCATATTCAAATGTCTCTACCGTTAGATCAAGCTTTCAAGACTTAATTTCATGTACACTGGGCAAAAAAAGATCTTTTTGGTTTGAACATCAAACGCGTTCATTTCAGTTCATGGTCTAGCTAACAAAGTTTACTGATATCCTCATAGTTTGCTTAAAATTATATATAACATAACTTTCATTTATTAACATCAAACTGCTTAATTTTCTGAATTCATTCAACTTGTAGAGAGACTGGTAAAATTGACCTTCAAAGATCTTGGTTTCTGCCGTTATTATCACGTGCAGTACCACAGAAATCAATTGCATTATCAATCTTTCATAAACATATCCTTCCGTTAGCCGACAGAGCTCTTGCTGTAGCCAGTGTATACTCTTCAGCGAATGTTTTATCTGATAAAACAAAGCCTCCAAATAATGCTTTAATAACTTTATCAATTAAAGTAGCTTGTCAACTCTGGTCCTCACTAAACATGTTTGTACATCACAGCCCTGTAGATTGGTCAGAATTATCAACTGGTGGGTTAGGATGTCGACTAGTTAAAGAATTAAATTCAGCTCCCGCATTGAGACCAATTATTCTGCATACATTTCGTCGATTAGCTAAACTAGCCGTTGATAATGGTAAGTTTGAGTAATTTTTGATAATAAATATTCTTAAAATTCGATAAAACTGCTTTTACTCACACAAGTTGAAGCATAATAACATATCCTTTTAATGTTATTTCTGATGCTTGACTGGTTGTGTGCATCCTTGTTAAACATTTTGGTCAGATTGTTTTAAAGATATATTGTTTAATCAAGCTTATTAACTAATTGCATGTTTTGTATTCAAGTTTGGGTTACACTAGTTATACAAGAGATACGAGAATAAATAATGTTCTTCTCGTTTGCATATCTTCGGTTCACAATTGGATAAAACTTGAATATCTCAGAAACTATACAACCATGAATACATATATTCAACGATTATCCCTCATTTAAAGTCTATCTTAATTTTTCGTCTATTTTTTCCAACTATATAAATGCACTGTCTCTTTCATTTACCAAGTATGATCTCATATAGTGTACTTTGAACTGAAAAGGCTAGTAACATTGACTGAACCAGAGTACTTTAAGACTAGAGCCTAAAGTTCACTAGTTAAAGGTCAAACAATCTAACTTTTAAAATCACCTGGGAGATATCTTTTTGCTAAAACATATATAGTAATGTGTCTGAATTATGTAAATCATGTCTAAGGAGTTTATATATATATATATATATATATATATATATATATATATATATATATATATATATATATATATATATATATATATATATATATATATAAAGCTTTAGCAAAAAGAGAATACTTTTACATATAACTAACAAACCCCCAATTCGGAAGAAACAGCTGTCAAATGCTTCGTCATAGTTTCCACTGATTCTTTATCCAACACCAGTCCATCTTATAAACTAACTTCACATTCAACAGTTCCTATACATAAATCCACCATCCTAATTATATCCGAATGCTGATTGTTCTATTGTTGTATTTTATCTTGTTGCTTTATGTGTTTGTTATCGTCATCATAACTTATGTAATTACCGCCGTACTTTCGTAGCTACTGTTCAAAATACAATTCCTCTCTTCTTTTTCTTAAAAACAAAAAAGATCTCGCTATTACAGTTATGCGTGGCGGTGCTAAAACAGCTATTCCAAATATGTTATCGTTGTATGAAACACTGGACACGTTTACACAACATTCATTAAAGCAAAAAATTCAAGCGACCTTATCATATTATCTACCAATTTTATCACCAAAAGTAAGTATTCCAATTAGTTAATGTCATTTTTAAAATAAAACTGTCATTGACTACTTTAGTAGAAATAATTATGGGGAGGTTCAGCTAATATTTTACTGTTGTCTTATCTGTTCAGGAGGAAATTACGAGTGTTGTTTGAACTCTTGAATTTCAAAATGATGGAACCGAGAAATCAGAAATAAGCGTCATCTAACTAGTTCTGAACTATCGATTGATGCTCATCACTGACCCTCCACACAATTGATATGATTCAAACCTCGAAGTCAGTACAAAGTTGCTGGATCATTTTTTACTGTAAAAAACTAGATTAAAACCATGATTAAGTGTTAGCTTTCTTGAGGTACTACGACCAGGATCATATTTACTACTCTAGTTTCCATACCTTTCATCATTCCATCTTTACGTTTACTATGACTATGCATTTAATGCGTCATTTTGTTCCCTTCCAATCAAATTTCTCATATTTAAATTTCCGTTGTTTTACCATTGTTGTTTACCATTCTATGCTTGTAACCTTAATCCCCTTCTTTCATTGTATTTATGCAGGGTGTAGCAACTTGTACCGATGCATAACTGTTCTAGGTCCAAGGTTGGTAATTACTAATTACTGGTTGAGAATAATCATCAAAATAGCAATGTGATGAGAAACCATAAATATCTATTGAATTCTTCACTTAATACGCCATTTATTTGATACTACTTTAAGATCATGTTAATACTATGAAGAAACAATCGTGTTTATTCGTATTTTTATGTTTTTTTGAGATATCGAATATCTCTCTTTGAAGATGACCTCACTTTTTTTCTCATTCCCACACTCAGTTATTATCGCTAAAATCTCATTTTGTATTAGAGCTGTTCGGTCTATCTAAAATTAAGTTACATCAACGCTCTTCATATCAGTAATATCACTTGATCTTATTATTCCCTCCTAGTCTTAAATGTGACCAAGCTATTGTTCATGACATCTTTCTCCATCATCATTATTTTTTTGTATCCATGCATACCTATGCAATTTTTTGAGTTTATTTGTAAAGTATAAAAATTGCTTATCTTCACACACACAATAACATAGTGAAGTAATTGTTTCGTTTTCCCTGTTTTTTTTATTTTAGATGATCAGTTCTTTGACAAAAACTGCTATGATTAAATTTGAAAATACAAAAGAGTAAGCGGTATCATTTTAATATTAATTATTTTTAACTGACAAGAATTAACGTCAGGGTATTTATTCCATCTTACTGAGATATTATTATCAATCAGTTTACGTCAAAACTCTAATACAGTATCCTATCCTGATATTATTGATCATGTTGATTATCAGTTCGGTAATATAATGAATCGACAATGTTAGAACCAAAAACGTAGAAATAACTAGTACAGTTTGTAAATAGGGCTGTGTTAACTATTGAATTTATTTTTTATCTAATCAGAAATTGTCGATATTGTTACTCTTTACCATTTAATGCCAATCTCGAAGTTATAGATGGTACCAAGAATCAACCTCTGTCAATACTACCTGAACCAACTCTTTCACTGGACATATTTTTGTTTAAAATTTCAGACTATTTCAAATGACAACTAACAGTGAACTTGTTGGACAGTCATTAGAATTTTTTAAAAGGCGGTTCTTTTGTTCGAATATTTTATCTAAATAGATGAATGTTCACTCCACTTTTTCTGCGTGCTACATAACTATTTACTGCTACATTGTTCCCATCTGTCTTGTTCTGGATGGTTTGTTGTTGTTTCAACAAAATGTACAGATGTTGGGGATTCCAAGACATTTTGATATGTCATCACAACTGAAACTTCGAATAGGTATTATGAATGGTAAAATACCATCGTATTCATGCAACACACTGCTCAAGCTTACAAAATCTCATCACTCGTGATATAGTTTAAAAATTCGTTTTAATTGATACAATCTCTAATAAAATAAGCAAATTTTATTTAATCGCTTGGTCATTATTAATCGCCTCCAAATGCCCTGGTACGGCCGAGATTGGGCAGAGTGCGCTCTCCCTCTCGAAATACTCTCAAATGGCCACGCGTATATAGCCTCTGCCAGGAAAGTCCTACTCACTGCCTTCTCGTGGCGGGGGTGTTGTTTACAAAAATGAGAGGACGAAAAGCGAGTTTCCGGCGCTTTAACCGGATTCCAAGCCAATGGTGCACACGGGCTCCAGTATCCTGCGGGAACAAATGGCGTATGAACCATTTTTTGGTCACCGGCCACCATGGGACTGCATCTCCTTACGATGCTCCACTGTCTTGTGAATCGGACCTTCAGGTCGAAGGCTCGGAGTGTGGCCCCCTAAGAAAACCACCTGCTTCGGTTTGGGCACCTGGGCAGTATCACAGCCCTCACACAAATCAAATGAGATTCGTGTGGCGCATATATATTTGGTGCCTCCTTGTACCAACATATATGTGTTCAAATTATTTGTTTTAACACATAGGTATTGGTACAAGGAGGCACCAAATACATATGCGCTACACGAATCTCAATTGATTTGTGTGAGGGCTGTGATACTGCCCGGGTGCCCAAACCGAAGCAGGATGTGTTCAAATAATAAAATAATATTAACATTATTAATCGTTCTTTTCTTTTTTTGAAACATACATACACATTCTCACACTTGCATACACCTTCAGATATTACTTATATCTCTACCGTTTTTTGATTATTTTTTCTATATAGACCAGTTTATTTGGAAATATTTCAAATTTTAATTGCTTACAATTCTGTACAAGAATTGGAACAAATCATAACAAGAATTAATGAATATTTAAGTGTAAGTGTTTACATATTAAGGATCTTCTCGAATTAATTCCTTTTGGTTTCCAAGAAAAAACGACTTGTTTATCCATTTACAAGCCACCAAACATTTGCTTTATTGTTACTGGTCAATGTAACATTTCACATTCCTACTTATCCATTTAAGTCGGATCATAAACATATTAGTAGTATTAACTAGTAGTGCAGTAGCGGCAGCTTCATCGTTAAAGGATACTAGGTGTGAATGTTGTAGTTTAATGTTATCAAATACATGAAGTGGTGACGATAAATCATTTACGAAATTTGTAAAGCTGTAAAATGCTTGAATTCCAATCCAGCGATTGAGTGTGTTATTGTGCTCGTTATAAGACATGAATGTTCTTTATTCAATGTCCTTAACTGTTAACATGAAACGTCTTCAGTGCTTCACCTATTGATGTAAATTTGTTTGTTGTGCTTTTTTCAAAAACTGTTTGTTCAATAAAGCTCTTGTATACCGCGTTGAATATTGATTCTTATTTTTTTTCGATAAATAAATTTTTCAATGGTTGAGATCATGAGTCAGCTGAAGCTAGACCACTGTGGAAAACCTGGAAGCACTGGATGGCCGTTTCGTTCTATCAACTTATCCTGAATACTTCTCTATATCTCATTCATTTCAGTACTTGCTGTAGTTAGTTTTGCATTCGAATATAAATCACTCATCTCTAGTCCATCCTCCGTAATTTTTTAGCCAGTTAAGTTGAAATTGAATTCGTGTTGTCAAATCAGTTGAGCATATGTTGTAATGGATTCTATGGAGAGATCTTTGTGAAGAACACTTATGTGTTATGCCATACTCCAGTCAGTCAAAGATACATTAGAATTATTCTCAATTAAACGGTGATAGATAGATATTTGTTGATTTTTCGTTACCAATTAAAGTAAGACAATATTCTATATGTATAATAAGTGGCAGTCAATCTATGTAAACTTCATCCCAGTTCATTTTGTAAAATGGTATTGTTACATATGACACTATTTAATTTCTGCTCATAATTGTTTTTTTAAACATTCTTTAAATTAAAGGATCCTCAATTATCAAAACCTTTAAGAAAACGTGTTTGTCGTGTGTTGGAGAGTATTTGTGCTGGAAGTACTAGTCAAGCAGATGATTTTTTAAATTTACACTTTAATGATGTTATTCGTATGATTTATAGTTTAACAAGGAAACCAGGTACTAATAATTCAACAACTGTTACATCATTAACAGATAAATCATTAAAAATCGACAATAATCTTACTGAAACAATTGAAGAAAAATTAACTACATTATCAGTATGTGAAATGAAAATTGGTAAACCTAATAAATCATCACAATTCTTTATACCATGGAAATCTATTTTACGATGTATTCAACATTTATTTAAACGTTTAGTCACTAATGAATTGAATACCATTAACAATAGTAATCAGTCCAGTGATGAAAATTTGACAACTAAAAATTTAATGGATAATGAACGTTTAAAAGAATTTGCAAATATGTTTCTGCCTGAAGTATGTTTGTCTTAGTAAACATTAAATATATTACTTAAATGTCTTTTTTACAATTTTTTTCTCAAAAATATATAATAATAATTAGTGAAATGCATAAAGGTTTTAAATTTGATTCTTGATGAAGTCGTAAATACTTACTATTGAGATGACCCATATTTACGATAAAAACAGCTATCCAGTGCTGTTCAACTTTCACCCAGTTAGTCTAAGATCTCAACCCCACCCCACTGTCACCTATTTTGGTTAAGGTAATCGTCCAGGACTATTTGTGCTATAATTTTTCTTATTACGACCCAGCCATTCCTGTTGCTTATTAATCTTGGACACAAATTCACTCGACAAGACCCCAAATCAGAACATGATTGAACAGGAACGAAATTATATTTCAAATAACAGGGGTAGATGGAAGTAGGAATTACAATAAGAAAAACGTTACTATATTTACAGTTTTTACACGAGAAGATTCCAGAGAATTCTTCGAGTATTCACCCGCGCTGATTAGTTAAGAAATAGCCAATCAGCATGCCCCATCATAATCCCGCATGGAGCATGCTTTAATCTAATTTATATTCTACTAACAATTATCCTCTCAAACTAAGTATACGAACCTGTGCTTATTAAATAAGTTAACAGCTAATAGGGAAATAAGTAGATTTAGAGGCTAATATCTTATTCCTCCTATGTCTATTCTGACGGTTCAAGGATAATTTTCACTACGGTGCTTATTCAAGAGTCTGTAATTCCGTACACGCTGTTTGTTGTTTGTTAAACTTTCGTATCAAGTTTCTCGTGTTAGATAATTTCGGTTAATTACATCTCATTTTCCAAAAGGTATGTATATCGAAATCAAAAATTTAACAGTCAAATCGCTATTTTTGTTAGGGACGTAAAGAAAAATTCTTCAATTCGAATGCTACTTAAATAAAATACTTTTTAGTTAGTTATATAAGTCCAATAAAACATGTGATCTCGAGTTTTTGTATGATTTAATTACTAAATAGTTCTCATAACTTCTTACATTGAATAAGAATCGCTGAAAACTTCCACTGAATTGTTATATATATATATATATATATATATATATATATATATATATATATATATATATATATATAATTTCAACAAACCAGTTATTCTCTTACGGCATTAGTGTTGAACGACATGCTGAACCATTTAAAAATTCCTCTTTTTTGACTAATAACGACCTGGCTCTGGAAGATCGTAAACTGACCGTTCTGTGCAAGTTTTCCTTTAAATAAATTTATTTAATAATCACTCATCCACCTTCGTTATTTTCATAGTTAATGACGGGGAAATGTTTAGCTCGTTTTCATTGCCTTGAGAAAAAAGTCTGTTCAACTTACTTATACATATGAAAATATTTGGCTGCAGCCTTTCATTTTTCATTATTCCAGATTCATAAATAAATGATAATCCCTAGAGCATCTCAGGTCTGGTTGGAAGTAGGATAATATTGTTTTCTCCCTGTGTAACTATTTTGTGGTAATTTCTTTCTCGTTCGCATGATTTAATGAATGAATATGTTCAGTTAACCCTTCCACACACATACACCCTTCATGTTGCGTTAATTTTTTCGTAAATCATTGCTTAATTCGAATTGCGATGTTCATTTTCTATTATTCTATGGTATATATGTATTTTTAATTTCTCTAGATATTAACATGTTTATGCGAATTAAATCAAACAGTAAGAAATTTAGCTGGAAATTTATTAATCAATCTTGTCTATGCATTTGCTGGTCAACAAGCATGGGATAAAAATAAATCCTCTTTATCAATATATCAATCACAAAATAATTTATTAACTTTTGATAGTAGAAGTTCACGTCCGCCAACTATAATGAATAATATTATGAATGATGATACAGATACTGAAGATGATAATAATGTTGAATCCAACAATAAATCTACTAACTCTTCTTTAATGGGAGGTTTAACATATTCTGATGGAGATGATGATATTATGTCAACAAAGTCGATGCCACGTGGTAGTCTTATATCCGAACAAGTAAGTGTATTTATTTATACATGAATTGATATATATATCACATGTAAGTATATAATGATGCTATTCGGTTATGGACTATTGGTCACATCACTGGATCCAGCCGACTATTTCTGTCCGGTCATTCATATAGCAAATATCACTAGTCATCACACAGAACGTCTGGCTCAAAGTCTCAATTATACTAACCTTGTTAATTAATTATCTCGATCTGAGTATCACACAACACTTTCACTAGCTACTAGTATGCTACATGCTACTCACAATATTGCTTAAAAGTGGTATGCGGTTGATCGTCGTATGAGAGTTACTGCAATCGACAGCCAAAGTCTGGAGTCTCAGAAACCCACAAGTACAAGTACGACAAGTTCTGAATACTCGTGAGACCATATGAAAAGGCATAAAAGAGTCTACAACCAACCTGAGTTGCGGAACCCAATACATGAAAATGGAAGGTTGAAGACTAAGTGCACATATTTCATAAATAATCTATTTTCTAAGTAGGTATATATATTCCCTCTGAACTTGCCTTTTTGTACATTACACTGTCCTAATAGTTGTAAAATTGTATCCAAGTGTTAACGTTAACATTCAGACATGAACCTTCCAGTATCTTTCTCTTCAAACATCAACGCTTTATTCATTGAACCACTAAATCCAGTGGCCACTGACTTTAAGTTACTAATTTCAATTAACAGTATAAATCTAGAGAGAAGAATTTCTGACCGTTTTCATTAAACTGGTGTTATTTACCCGTGAATTGAATAGTTTTGAGTCTCAACATAGCAAAACACGATATGTATAACATTCTTTCTCCAAGTAATTAGTTTACAGATTTTTTTTCTCAAAAACATTTTCATCCACAACACCTAAACCATAAACCTTGAATAATAGTCTGTACACAAATTAATTGACTCTGAAATTGCCATTGAGGAATACACTTCAGTTTTAAAAACCTTATGCTTAACAACTTCGAATTATATAAAAATCAAAAATTTACATCTAAGTAAAATTGTGGTTTCGTTTCCCTTTAAATCAAGTTTCAGATCACATGTAATAAACTTCGAAGTGTTCCGCAACTTATTGTTTTGTGTTTTTTTTTGTGCCACAAGTGAGTATATAGTTATAATAACATTAAAACCCTGATAATTACAGTTAGGTATATGTTTCCATTGTCATGAGTAATACTACTGATATTGAGAATTTCAGTATTTCACCTTAGAGGTATGTATAACCCATATTCCAAATTTAAATTTTTCTTTCCTTCTTTTCCTCAATGCACGTTTTTTATTCTTAGATATGTCATGCTTTAAACTTGGTTTTATCACGTTTATGGCCATGTCTACCACCACATAATCGTCCTGCTACAAATTCAATTGAATTAGCCCTACAACAATCATCTGCACGTGCAATGTGTTTACTCATGAGACATCGGCGTTTCAGACAAGCGCTTATTTTGAATATTAATCCCGAATCAAATTTAATCTCTCAATTAGTGTCTACATTATTATCTGAAGTGAATTTGATTAGTCAATGTTTAGTTCAATCAAATCAACGTAAATTAATTCGTTTAGGTTTACAACTCGCTCGGTCATTAATAATATTCATTAAAGAAGGTTCTATTAGTTTAGCTTCTGTGGTAAGTTCCATGTAAAATGCTATTGTTTGTTTAATCACTACTAAAATACTGTAGACTTTACTTAACTAGATAAGTGTTTAGTCGCTTAAAAAAACCAATTGGTTTATAAGATTTCACACAAAGAGTCTGTTGGTAATACCTTTTATACAGTGAGGTCTTTACTTGTTTGTGGGTATTAATGTATGAGCCATTACTTTAAACCTTGAAATGTCCCTATACCACAAACACATGCAAAACAAATATATCTAGTAGTCTTCTACGCAAAAATGTATTAGTTACGGCATTTATTACTTACTACATTTTCTTTAAAACGCGATAATTTCAAAGTTGAATACATACTGAATCATAACTACAAAAATACCACTTAATCTAAAATGAATTGCAAATAAGAGATTATTAGGGAATAAACTATTACATCACATACTGCAATAGCAACTATTTAGAGTTAGAAATAGAACAATTTCCACCATATCACTAATTAGATGACCAGCACATAAACTTTAGAATCCCTATTGACAAACGTTCCATTTAATTTAGAGTTTGGCTAATTAGGTACTATCAGTGAAGCTATGTACCGTATAAATATTCAGTCAGTCAGATGCAACGTAGGGCCAGGTACATATATGCATCGATCCAAGTTGCCACACTTCATTAGCATAACAAGATGAACATCAAATTCTTACAAGTAGTTAGCTCAATGGTAATAATATGTTAAAAAAATAGAGTGCGTATAAAGAGAAAGTACTAGGTCGAAGAAAGGAGAGGCATAAAGTAATTGTAATCTCACAATGTAAGGAAAATCATAGAGTGTATACACATGCACCATTGTGATCGATTCTGAGCCATGTCACCAAGGGTCGCCAATCATTGGTTACGATAGTCACGCGGAACCCAACCAAGTAGTATGCATCTACGAATATGGCTCAAACCAGAGGTTAGTGACTTCAAAGCACTGATGCCACGTTTTAGTTTGGCCGCCCCTAACTTTCAACTATCCCAAACAACGGTCAGCATTGCGCTTTGTGGTAATCGGTGTTCAGGCATACGTAACACGTGGCCCAACCATCTCAGTCGATGAAGATTTACAACCTCATCAACTGATTTACCATCATTCCGTAATACCCTGTGTCTAACCTCACTATTACTTACCCGGTGATCCCAGCAGATGCGAGCAATATTTCTAAGGCATTTGTGGTTAAACACTAGTAGCTTATGAACATCTTCTACTCTTAATGGCCACGTTTTACAGCCGTAAAGTAACACAGAATGAACTGCCGCACAGTATACTGGTCCTTTTATTGATAGACGGATATCTCGCCTTCGCCGTAGGTGACCTAAGTTGACAAAAGCCAAACGAGCTTTTTGAATCTGTGCTGAGATTTCGTCAGGCACAACCCCATTACGGCTGATCAGGCTTCCAGGATAAGTGAAGTTGTCAACGCGTTCGACTACTTCACTCCCTATCCTTAGTTCAGGTGCTGACGCAGACCAGTCCTGAAGCAATAACTTGCATTTGGAGGGGAGGAAACACGTTCCAAACATTTCGGCATTGTTGCTTAGTGCTACCATAAGACTCTGCATTTTATCAGTGTCTTCACCAAACAAAACTATGTCATCTGCGTATTCTAAGTCGATAAGTGGACCTCCTGGTAGGGGATCGACCCACGGAAACTCAGACGACGAGAGCGTTATTTCCATCAGTAGGTCTATGAAGAAGTTAAACAAAAATGGAGAAAGTGGACAGCCTTGACGGACACTACTTGAGGTTGCAAAAACAGATGACAGTTCGCCATAAGCTCTGACTCGACTAATAGTGTTCGAGTGAAGAGCCTTCACAAGGTTTATGTACATATGAGGTACAACTTTCAATGACAGACACTGACACAGAATATCGCGATCTACATAGTCAAATGCTGCTTTTAAGTCAAGAATGACTACCATTGTCGAACACCGATAAACATGCCTGTGTTCTAGAACCTGACGCGTGGTGAATATGTGGTCGATGCAGCCACGACCAGGTCTGAAGCCAGCCTGATCTTCTCGTGTTTGCAGTTCACGAGTCTTAGTTAGGCGTCCGATAATTATCGAGGCTAGTATTTTAAATGTTATATTAGTTAAACTAATCCCTCTATGGTTGTCACAGGATGATTTTGACCCTTTCTTAAATATTGGGACGATAGGTGATTGTGACCAGTTAGATAGGATAACGTTGAAGGGTTATTCTCGAGGTACCTGAGAATGAAATTGGGTTAGATGTGGTCTTAGTTACCTGAGAGCGTGACCGCAGTACCCAAGTGACAACTGCTTGAAGTCAGTCACACACGACCTCTTTGTGGGTGATTTTCGTGCTAACTTCGTACTTATTGGAACCTTACCGCCGGAGACGGATATCCGTGGGATAAGGTGAGGTGTGCATTTTTAGGGTCGACCTTTTTTCACCCCACTTCAAACTGTGAGAAGGCAGCATTGCTGTTATGCTGGTTGTCTGAGGGAAACATCTTACTACCGTCACACCTCTTTACGGTCAGCAGTACGACTTCGCCTTCGGACCTTGGGTTTTCCGCTTTTAGTCCTGCAGCTCTTCAACCGACCTGTCTGGTATGGTGGGACCTTGAGGAATGATTGTTCCAGCCAGTATAGCTCGACTGGTTCATTGCGATAGAAAAGCCCAACCGCTACATGAAGGTAGTAGCAGCAACGGTTCGGAATATAATTATTACACATGATAAATTGATGTTTCTCAATAATTAAGTAAACATACCTTCACTTATATGAGATTTTTCTTTATTTGTTTGTGGTAATTTTATCTTGGAATATCTTTTTCTTTTCTACATTATTATTGAAAATAGCGCACTTTTATTACCCCCATGTTCATATTTTCATATCTTTTACAGCTTGAGACTTTACAGTCCATTCATTCATCGTGTAAACGTCCTTTACGTTTTGTTGTGAAATCCATACTAGAAAAAATGGTCAAAAAGTTTGGGTATGTCACTGACTAATCATTTTTTTCTCTTGGTAATGAAACTTATCCTTTAATATGTGATGATATAAATCAGCACTACCGCCACCCCTCGTCCATATTTTTGAAGTGTTTTGTTGTCCTTGTGATTCTCATCTTAAAAGTTACGCCACGTAAACAATCTGATAATTTTGTGCAGTATTTAGTGATCAATAACCATGTAGTTGTAGCTAAAATAAGCATAGTGAATTATTTAATCAATCAAACACAATGTTGAACCCGAAGTACAATTACATCGGTCCAAGTTTCTGTACCACATAAGCACAACGAGATTAAGTTGTCAGAGCAAATTCTAGAGTCGTAGAGATAATAGAAGTATTAACGTTAATAAAAAAGATTAGGTATGGGAGATACTTTTCGGCAATTAATACAAAAAGTTTCTCTTGATAAATTTAGAAACTTGGGATCCAAAGAAAGATATGTAGTGAATGCATCTTAACCATTGCGAACAATTTTGAACCATGTCACCTGTAATTAATAACTATTGGTTACGATAAACATGCTTACCCAAGCTAATTAGTCTATCTATTTACATGGTACAGTGCAGTTTTCAGTTTGTGCCACATCTTGGTTTGACCGTCCCTGGGTTTCTTTCAACCGACTCCTACACCATCTCGCGTCGAGATAGTCGGTGGTTACACACATGTAGAACATGTTCTAATTAACTCAGTTGATAAAAATTTAGTACCTCATCAGTAGATTCGCCATCCTCACCTAGTACTCTGTGTCTAATTTTAGAATTGTTAGCTCGATGGTCCTAAAATATCCAACCAATTCTCCGAAGACACCTAAAATCGAATACTAGGAGAATGCGTATATTCTCTATTCTTAAACATCATGCTTCACAGCCATGAAATAGCACGGAGCGAACTGCTGCACAGTTAGCTTGTTCTTTCTTTAGCACACTTATATCGCGCCTATGTGACAAGTGATTCATGTTGGCTAAGGCTAAGTTAATGTAAGTCCTCCAACTCCTTACAAAGTTGAAAAGCTATAGGAAATCTGAAGCGAGCGAGAGCAGAAGGCCCTGACATGTTTACCTCTGAGATTTTTAAGGATAGCGGTGAGATTGGCTGAGGTCTTAGGTAGAATCTGGGAACTGAACGTAATCTCATCTGATTGATCTCAATCACTCACCGTACCAGTCCATAAGGAAGAAAGGACAAAGTCCTCTTGTGACAATTACAGAGGAATCATTATGACTAATATAGTGTCTAAAATATTAGCTTCAATAATACTTCGACGTCTAACCGAAGCTCGTGAAGAGCAGACTAGAGAAAACCAGGCTGGTTTTCGACCTGGACGTGGTTGTATAGATCAGATATTGACACTACGTCAGGTCCTAGAACATAGACACACATTCAGACGACCCACAATCGTAGTATTTCTCGACTTTAAGGTGGCATTTGACTCTGTTGATCGTGGCAGTGTTTGTCACTGAAAGGAGTACCAAAGAAGTACATTAACCTTATAAAGGCTCTCTACTCGAACACAACTGGTCGAGTGAGAGCATATGGCGAACTGTCATCAGAATTGATTACCTCAGATGGTGTTCGTCAGGGCTGTCCACTCTCTCCATTCTTGTTTAACTTTGTCGTTGATGTGCTTTTAGAGATGACAATTTCCTCATTTAAATTTCCATTGGTTGAACTTTTACCGGGAGATCCGCTTGTTGACTTAGAATATGCCGACGACATATTTATATTTGGTGAAGATGCTGACAAAATTCAGTCTTCTGACCACTTTAAGCAACAATGCAGGGGTGTTCGGGATGCGATTCTCCCCCTCGAAATGCAAAACGTTGCTTCAGGATTGGGTTGCATCGACATCCGAACTAATGATAGGGAGTGAAGTAGTTGAGCGTGTCGACTGCTTCACTTATCGTGGGAGTCTCATCAGCCCTTGTGGTCTGGTGTGTGACGAAATCTCAGCACGAATACAAAAGTCTCGACTAGCTTTTGCCAACTTGCGTCATTTGTGGCGTAGGCGAAATATCCGTCTACCAATTAAAGGACGTGTTTACTGCGCAGCAGTTAGTTCTGTCCTACTTTATGGCAGTGAGACATGGCCGATAAGAGAGAGGATATTCGTAGGTTACTAGTATTCGATCATAGGTATCTTCGAAGCATTGCTCGTATATACTGGGACCAATGAGTAAGTAATGCAGTTGTTAGGAAACGGGTACTAGTTAAGGACGGAAAATCAATCGAGGAAGTAGTGAAACGTCATCAGTTGAGATGGCTGGGGCATGCGTTACGTATGCCCAACCACTGACTGCCTCGACGTGTGATGTTTTATGGTGTAGGAGTAGGTTGGAAGAAAGCTAGTGGTGGCCAAACCAAAACATGACACAAATCCATCAAGTCTCTGATAAGTGAACCGAAACATGTTGGTAGGTGTAGACTACCAGGTTGGGATCCGCGAGATGATAGCAACCGATGGTTAGAGACCTTGAGTGACATGGCTCAAAATCGTTTGCAATGGTGAATGTGCATCCACTCTTTGTGTCCTCCCAAATTCTAGTCTTCTGAATTCTTCATCTCTCTTTTTCTCTCCAAATTTATTTCAATGGATTATACTCCTTGAATAACATCTTCAAACTCTTATCGTTAGGATTACTGCTTATACTTTAACTTTCAATCGAGAATTATGTCTGTGTGCTAACGTGGTATGGTAACTCGAACTGATGTACGTACGTACGAAGTTCTACGTTGTTGATGATTAATTGCCCTTTTTCTGCACATTCTGATGTGATTCCCTATTCTAAAGGTATGTTTAAGGTCAATAAAGCTTCAGTTTGTATGATTTGAACATACATTTTCCGCCCGATATGGCAGTATTTTGGATTCATGTTTATCAGTCACGAGAGTAATATGTGGTGATTAATTTTATTATGTATCATATTATAAAAGTCAATATTACGCTTTTTATTCCTATGCTATTGTTGTACAGACGTCAAGCTATCCAGGGTTTGTTGAGTGTTGAACATCAAAAAATGGTGCGCAATTCGGTTAAACTAATAGCTCGTCGTGAACGTAAATCTAAAATGCTTGAACAGTCAACATCAAAGACAACATCATCGTCATTGATTAGTGGATCTACTCGCCAACAAATATCCGATAGTGACTCAGATCATAATTCAAGACGATCAATATCCAATGATATTAAAAGTATTCGTTCATCTATTCACAGTAAACCATCATCGTTATCTCTGCCAAAACGTGTACATATAGCTCGGTATGTTTTGGTTATTTCTTTCCAATTTACGTGTAATAATTCTACGCGCTTTTTTTCAAAGTAATGACTTGGGTTAACTCGAGGCTAGAAATGTTGAATTTATCGTTTAATGTTGATATTCCCGTGTCACACAGTAATGGTTTATGTTGTAACATGGCCATTAAGAGTAGAAAATACTCTTAAAATACTAGTATTTGATCACAGATGTCTTATAAATATTGCTCGCATCCGCTGGGGTCACCGGATATGTAATAGTGAGGTTAAAGTAATTATAATGATAAACACAATGAATGTGATAAGTATATGTAAATATTTCAGAATATTACACGACAAACTCGCGTTTCATCATAAGCGTAAAAATTGCTGTGAATACAACTATTTACTGAATGTTAATAAGTAGTATGAACGGTGCACAAGAGTCAAAGGGAAGTAAATAAAAACAGAGAACGTAAAAGAGACTTAACACTCTTTGTCTCCCCTTAATCTGTGAGGTTAAACTTACTTCATACCTTTCTTTCTGCGAGGTAATTCTTTCTCCCCGTATCATATACAATATTTTTATATATTACTACCATTGAAGTAACTGATTCTATGAATTTAGTGTTAATCTCTTTGTGCTAATGAGGTATGTCAACTTGGACCAATGTATATATATGTCATTGGTCACACGTCGTGGATAAATGACTTATTGAGTGACTCAAATTAAATATGGTGTTACGTCATAATTGTGAATAGGCTAGTTTTACTATACATAATTGATTGATCATTCTCTTGTTGGCAAATACAAGATATAAACATTGTAAAAAAAATTGTTTATCAGAACTAAGCTGTCAACTAGTGTTTACACAGAAATAATGTCTTACAAGAAATATGTGAATTTGTATTTAATGATAATGAATCCCATCAGGAGAAATTAAATGTTATCATTCGTGTTTATTCTAGCTGCTAGGATAATCATAAGACATAGTAGACATATAGTAGAGGAACACGCTATCAACTCCTATAGAATCTATGAACAATTCCACTTTCAATTAATATGAACGCTGATATGTTTGCGTGCTACTTTCCTCTCAAATCTATCTTCGATAAAGTGAACGAGACTGATGTCACTATCTTCTCTCCTGCCACGTTAACACTAAATTATTATCAGTCGATACTCCAGTGTAATTCAAAAAATACACTTTAGATAACCAGTTGTATATTTATTTCACATGCCCGAAAATCTAATGTTTTTTCTCATATTATCCCTTCGGCTTCTTTTTATTATTTTGTATTCAAGGATGGATGAACTGTTAGCCACCTCTTCAAGTGAAGATGATGATCGTCCTTCAATCCATTCACATGCTAAATCTAATCGGAGTCAAACTAAATCATCATCTCGTGACAGTTTATCATTAAAACATACAAAATCATTAGTAGAAGAATTGGAAAATGCCAAACTTACCGCTGGATTGTGTAGACGTTCACGTAGAAATTTAACTGAAAATGGATCTTTCAATAATATGATAGACAATATGGATATTGATATTGGTGCCTATAGTGAAGATGATGATGACGACGATGAAGAGATTAATAAAGCCTTATGTAAACATCCATTTAAATCTAAACATCAAGTTCGTTTTGCCACTGATACAATTAGTCATACATCAAAATCTCGTAGTCAGGTATCACGACATACATCATTATCAGCAGTAACCACTGCATCATCACGTCATCAGCCTTTGAATGATTCAGATCTATGGCTTGTAGAAAATCCTGACAGTTCAGAAATTTTAGATTTATCTGATCCTAAATCACTCGCTCGTCATACAGCTTTTGCACCGGATGGTATGACAGCAAAAGCTATGGTTAACATTTTTCAGAATTCACTGGCTGAACAATCAAAATTATCTGCTTCACAATCAACTAATAAACATGGTAATCTACCTTTTCCTATTGTTAACGGGAAAATTGTTATTAGTGGTAGTACGACTGATGAAAATCAATCAATGCTGACTAAAAAAGATCATTTAGGTAAGTATGTTGTAGTTGTACTGTGTTAATTTGATGATAGAATAATTTTTGCAAGTACAATGAGTAGACGAAGTTGATTCGAAAAGTGTAATGTATTTGCGTCGTACATTTAGAATACTCTGGTCACACATACACTAGTCAAAGCATTTTATATGAAAACTAATCGAGGTCAATTAAATAAATAAACATGAAGTGATAACTGTAAATAAAGGAGAGAATAAAATTAACATAACATGTAAATAATACAAAATTATCGCACTACTATAAGTCATAAAATAAAGTAAAGGTTATTGAAGCAAATTCGTTTACACCGAATTGTTTCTGTATATATAAAGGGTGTTTCAATTTGCGAATAGCCCAGGCTATCGATGAACTTGGTGTACATCTGTTAACTGATGTATATGTGTTATATGTTGACAATATGATGAGTGAGCTCATCGGGGAGGTAGCGCTGTTTAAGAGATATATGGATGATATACTGGCCATAAGTGATAAAGAATTCAATGCTGCTTAGTTACTTGATCAACTCAATAGCCTACAAAATTGTATCGTACATACATAAGGAAAAACGTAATAGCCGATTACCCGTTATAAAATTATGTCTTATCAATATTCACAATCTAGATATCCGATTAGCCATCAAAATAACTAGTTTAATTGTACAACAGTCTTCATAGCCTTCCCCAACAAACATTATAATTCGCAGAATTGTATAAATTCAGCATCTTTTAAAATTACCACTTGAATGTAATTAGTCCTTCAAAAAAATTATGTTGGGTAAGTACTGCATATTTTAACCGAAACAAACCAGACAATTGATTAAATTGTTACTACACTTCCCGAACGTTGCTGCTACTGTGATAACCATAGAGGGATTAGTTTAACTAATATAACATTTAAAATACTAGCCTCGATAATTATCGGACACCTAACTAAGACTCGTGAACTGCAAACACGAGAAGATCAGGCTGGCTTCAGACCTGGTCGTGGCTGCATCGACCACATATTCACCACGCGTCAGGTTCTAGAACACAGGCATGTTTATCGGTGTTCGACAATGGTAGTCATTCTTGACTTAAAAGCAGCATTTGACTATGTAGATCGCGATATTCTGTGTCAGTGTCTGTCATTGAAAGTTGTACCTCATATGTACATAAACCTTGTGAAGGCTCTTCACTCGAACACTATTAGTCGAGTCAGAGCTTATGGCGAACTGTCATCTGTTTTTGCAACCTCAAGTAGTGTCCGTCAAGGCTGTCCACTTTCTCCATTTTTGTTTAACTTCTTCATAGACCTACTGATGGAAATAACGCTCTCGTCGTCTGAGTTTCCGTGGGTCGATCCCCTACCAGGAGGTCCACCTATCGACTTAGAATACGCAGATGACATAGTTCTGTTTGGTGAAGACACTGATAAAATGCAGAGTCTTATGGTAGCACTAAGCAACAATGCCGAAATGTTTGGAACGTGTTTCCTCCCCTCCAAATGCAAGTTATTGCTTCAGGACTGGTCTGCGTCAGCACCTGAACTAAGGATAGGGAGTGAAGTAGTCGAACGCGTTGACAACTTCACTTATCCTGGAAGCCTGATCAGCCGTAATGGGGTTGTGCCTGACGAAATCTCAGCACAGATTCAAAAAGCTCGTTTGGCTTTTGTCAACTTAGGTCACCTACGGCGAAGGCGAGATATCCGTCTATCAATAAAAGGACCAGTATACTGTGCGGCAGTTCATTCTGTGTTACTTTACGGCTGTAAAACGTGGCCATTAAGAGTAGAAGATGTTCATAAGCTACTAGTGTTTAACCACAAATGCCTTAGAAATATTGCTCGCATCTGCTGGGATCACCGGGTAAGTAATAGTGAGGTTAGACACAGGGTATTACGGAATGATGGTAAATCAGTTGATGAGGTTGTAAATCTTCATCGACTGAGATGGTTGGGCCACGTGTTACGTATGCCTGAACACCGATTACCACAAAGCGCAATGCTGACCGTTGTTTGGGATAGTTGAAAGTTAGGGGCGGCCAAACTAAAACGTGGCATCAGTGCTTTGAAGTCACTAACCTCTGGTTTGAGCCATATTCGTAGATGCATACTACTTGGTTGGGTTCCGCGTGACTATCGTAACCAATGATTGGCGACCCTTGGTGACATGGCTCAGAATCGATCACAATGGTGCATGTGTATACACTCTATGATTTTCCTTACATTGTGAGATTACAATTACTTTATGCCTCTCCTTTCTTCGACCTAGTACTTTCTCTTTATACGCACTCTATTTTTTTAACATATTATTACCATTGAGCTAACTACTTGTAAGAATTTGATGTTCATCTTGTTATGCTAATGAAGTGTGGCAACTTGGATCGATGCATATATGTACCTGGCCCTACGTTGTAGCTGACTAACTGACACTGCAAATAATTCTTTTTAAGAAGTTTCGGTGGAATACAGTGTGGAAATTCGAACTGGTGCACATATATGCCAGGTCCCATATTGTTTATACGTGACGGCACTGACTGAGATGGTTCGACGATATGATCCATGTAAGAGTTAGAAGAGTTAAGGACGCTATCCTCTGCCTCGCATTTTAAACTAGTCGTTCAAGACGCAGTATAATTATCGGATCTCTTTCCAAATACAAAACTAAGACCATTAGACTTTCTTTTATAAAGTATAAATACGTTCTAGGACAGTAATGAGTTGTTTGGAATACTGATCGGTTTACGTGATAGCCTATTATAAACTAAAATCGCTTTTACATCCAAAATACGTTGCGATATTTATTTTTCTTGAATTAGCAGGATGGGATTTCGATGGTGATGACGATGAAGATGCTAACATACAATCGACCTGCTGTGTAAATAAAAACGATGTTAAACATAGAAAAAAGAGAACTATTCCAATACCTGGTCGTATCTACGCATCAAGCAAAGCAAAAGGTGATATGAAGCGACCTGGTATGCCAGAACCTTTTGCGTTTGTTCCACTTGGAGCTGGCATCGGTAAATCAAACAATTCAATTAGTCAAAGAGTAACGCCACTTGAACGTCGGCGTCTTTTGAGAGAAGTTGGTATGGGAAGACAGAAACGAAAGAGGATTCAAGGTGGTAAACAAATGAAATCTTCGAAGAATATTCCTTTAAAAGGTGTTCATAAAAAGACTAAATTTTTAAAATTATCGAAAGCTAAATTTTCACAAGATAATATATAAAACATAACTGGAAAAAAAAATTTGTGATCATATTTGTCTCCTGATCATAATGTTATTATCCTACTAAATGAATTTCTTTGATTATTTAAGACTTATTCGGTTATGATTTTAAGTTTAATTAATGGCCAGTAAATTTATCACAATTTTTAACTCGTTTATTTACCACATTTTGTTGAATCTGTCCTATGATAAGTCTTGCAAATTAAACGCTATGTTCGGTTCCTAAGCTATTCTTGTAACCCCCAAGCTAGAACTACACAGCGACCTGAACACGAGAGAAAAGACGCAAAGTATGCGAGAAGCACTTCACTCCAGGGTTCGATTTAGTACAGAAAATATATAGTTTTTTTTAGTATTTTAAATATCCTTGGGTTGCTCGAAGATTCTGGAATGCTGCCAAATATAGTAACAGTATGGCAATCAGCCAATTAAAAACTGTGCATGTGACGTTTCACTTCCTTAATGCTTCTGGCTAAAACTTCAAGTGAAGGCTGATTGAATGAAATGCTTCTTAGTGTTTCCTGATCCTTGCTTGTCTTTTGCAAGAAATTTTCTTGATCACCCCAACACTATACATAGTACGCTTTCCCTGAAAGGGATTGCATGAATAACAGCATGATCTTGAATAACTCTTACGTAATTAAATATAAGAAACTGCAAAGTAGTGCGTGTCCAGTGATTATGGTATAACCACAGCTCACGTTTTGTATCTTTTTCGTTTGTGTGGCATACACACGCTTCAACTCAATTGTCGGTAAGAACCTCAGTTTATCGTATAATTTAAACATCCCCATCGATCTAAGACACTGATACCAGCACTCTAAATCTATAATATACGTTAACTTAAAAATCCACAATTCTTACAAAATATTTGTATTTAGCCTAACCAACATTTCTCACCGCATGTATTCGGTTTTTTCATGTTAGTCATCTTAGTACCAAGGATGGTCATTTAAAGAACGTCCACTATTAAAGAAAAGTCTTGCTATCATGTTAAGTTTATCCAAATCCATAATGGTAAAAAAACAGATATAAGGATAGTTTGTCCGTACGGCACCAACAAATTGAAGAACTCACAACTACGTCAGAGTTTTGAGATTCTACTAATTGGTTGTGACATGTTCCAAAACTAAATACTTAATTGCCTAATCAACAAGTAACAGAATGGTATCAAGTATTATACTCCAGATAAGGAATATATATGTCTATTTTTAAAACCTGTAGTAAACGTTCAACACTTAAAATCAAGATAGCAGGTGTCCAGATGCACTCGTAAGAAGTTCAGATGTTAAACTAGTAACCAATAAGAGGCTGATAACCGCTAGCTTTGATTGTAAGGATACTACGGCGATAGTTGGGCGAAGACTAAATTGCCACATTATCCAGAAATTTAGCTGGTAAGTTACGCCTTGTGTCGACCAACATAAGCAGGAATCAGAAGATATTACGCGTGTATCTTGCGAATAACCAAGAAGAAAAGCTATTTAGTTGGTCGTCTCTCTCGGTATTCCGACCACTATTATAACAGTCGCTCGATGAGTTTATTACTTGTAAGTTTAGCCGCTCACTATATCTAATCTACTGTTATAAATCGCCTCTACCTATTTTATATCGGCTCACAATTGAATCCCACTCTGTTTCCTCCATATTTTGTTCCCACTAGAGTGAGTTTCTAAGTGTTTATTAGTACTGTAGAGGCTGTATAAACCTAGTAGTGTGCTGTCTATAGAACCAATCTTTGTAGCACTTCCCTCGAATCATAAAAAGAGGATGGTTGGAGACGCTAGTCGCATATATATATATATATATATATATATATATATATATATATATATATCATGTCTTCTACAGAAATATTAAGGAGAGGTCAACCATTTAATCACACTAATTAAACTAAGATATATTTCAAATATACACGGGAGGTACATTACATTCCTCACACTAACGCTCCACATACATTAACAGTTACTGGTTATTTTGTAGGTAATAAGCTTCAGGTCTCTAGAAAATGATTACAAGTTGTAAAAATATGGTCGACGCAATCAGCTTTGCAACTATAACCAGATGATATTACGTCGTTAGTTGTGAAGTGAATGATAATAATATAACTGATTGAGGTAACTGAGAGTTACCTAACAAATGGGCATTTATTACCTACTCAGATATACACGGGAGAACTTTGAAAGATGATTACAGATAGGTAAGCTAAAACATACCGTTAATTCACAGAATCATTGGCTGTTGGTTTGGGTCATTACTATTAAGATCACTTCCACTGGCGTAGTTGCATTCATTTCCTATTTTCACATAAATCTTAAGTAACATTATTATTTCAAACTTTATATTTTTCGATTTTGATTGTACTCCTGGAAATATATTTCCAATTTTTGGTCTTACTATTTTTGATATTAGGATCGTTTTCCAAATCTCATTGCTTTCTTTTATTATTGTGATTAGTAAATTTATATACACATCAGAGCCTACTTTATTAAGGCTATCCCAAATCAAATACCAAGTAATTTACATAAAAAGTAAGCAAGTCAAGACTATTTAGACTGATAATATATGGTACATTTCTACTATGTACACGATAAAGCAATCGATTAGTTCAGTTTATGTACATCATTACTGACAATTTGATTGTGACCAATATGAAAAATAACGTTCATATGGAATGACAACCGTAATCGTCCAATTCAGCTGAATTCCTTAGTTGACCAAGGAAACTGTACTTTATGGTGTACATGAAATTAGATTATATACAAGACATTGATTTTTAAAAATTCTCTGAAATTCAGATATGTTAACAGTTATCATTATCGAGAAATTTATTTTCTTAACTTGGCGGAGGAGCAGCTTGTTTGTCTTCCAACTTTCGTTTAATCAATGCCTTAAATTGAGCTTGCAATTTCGCTTCACGTTTAGCACGCTCAGCATGGTTAAAATGTTCTAAAGCACGTTTCTCATCGGCTGAATATATCTGGTTCTCTTTACGCAAACGAACAGCTTCCATACGACGATGACGACTACCTGACATGACGTAACCCTCTTTTTCAAACGATTCAATCTCTTCAGGAGTTAGACCAATTTCACCACGTCGTGGTATACGTTTACCTTCGGCAATATAAGCTGCCATTGCTGCACCTTCGCCCGGTAGTAATGCTCGACCATAATCTAACGGGATTAGGCTAGAATGTTCAGCAGTAGGTAACATTGGGCCGACAGCTTCTTCTTCCTCTTCCTCTTGTGCACGTTTACGTTCTAATTCACGTTTCTTATCCTTCATCTGTTTAATAAATTGTTTCTTTTCATCTTCACTATCTACTTCAGACTCAGATTCTGAAGATGATGAGGAAGAGGATTCGCGACTAGCATGTTTATTCTTCCGCTTTTGTTTTTTGAGTTTAGTGCTCTTTTTTGTTTCTTTTTTATGCCTTTTGGAGTGTTTATGTGACCGATGATGATGACTGTGGTTCTTGTGCTTGAGCTTTTTATGCGAATAAGAAGTATCACGGTTGTCTGGTATTTTCAAATCTGTTGGAAGACTAGGTCCGAAAGCTTGTCCAGAAATTGTGTGCTGGTCGTTATCTGAATCAGAATCCTCTTTAGGTGGATTTGACTCCCATATCTGTGTGTTTACAGAAGCACCAGCGCGCTCACGCATTTTACGGCGTCGCTCCCAAAATTCTGGCGTTTGATGATGATTAAATTCATTGGTTTTACGATGACGACCTTCATTTTTATGACTAATTGACAAAGATGGAGATTTTGATTTGGAATAACTTTCACTAAGATCATGTTTATCTTTGTAAGAATGCCGACTAACTTCATAACTTCTATGTGTGGAATCAGCATCATGTCTAACTGCATTCTCACCATAAGATCTTCGAGTAGGACTGGAATTTTGTGACTCCATGAAAGGAGATCTGTCATACCTTTCATGATTGATTGTCACCATGTCTTAAAACAATAGAGAATGGGACACAACATTTGCAAGTATTAATAAACAGAATACTTTACATCTACTTTGACAAGTACAACTAAAACCTCTTACTTAAAAATGTATTCACTTGGAAAATCAAGAGACTATGAAATACTACTTAGATAAGATACTTTTAATATGAATCAGATTGAGTCATTCTACGAAGTCTCAGGTTTCCTCATCCAACTAATAAAATACTGCAATAAACAGGAAAGATGTGTTGACGTGAAAACACAAAATGCTGGGATTTTAAAAGATAGGATAAGAACACTTGTATTAATTTTTGAGCATTAATTTCAAACATCCTAGCATCCAACCAGAATATCTACACTCTAATGAATCAAAAAACCAATGGTTTGTGACTTCTAAGTGATAAATATAGTCATGATATACCGTACACAGATCATGCTTCGCATAAACATGGAGTATTATGGTCGGTGTAGGAAATAAATAACCACTGATATCCGCAATCAAATAGACATAGAATAATGCTACACAAAATAAATACCAAGTAAAGAAACACTGCGTGTTCAAGTGACATGAGGATGAATATTCAGTATTTTTGTATAGTGAATACATGATATAATAAGAAGGGTAATTAGCTGCCGATTTACAAGTGCGATCATTAGTTAATCGACTAAAGTAACAGGTATATATGACCATCTGAGATTTAAAACTAGGTAAAAACGTTTACCTATCGAACTGTTGATGGGTAAACCAAATCGCGATACAGACGATGTAAGGCTTTAACTCTGGGACAACAAATTGTCCTAAATGTGGTTTTTGGCATGTTCTGATGGTACTTTAGAACGGAATTCCATGTTCGTGTATTTATTTCATTTAGAAGCAACGGTTTTTGTGTTCTTATACTTCTAATTTCCTGTCGCTGTCCTGAATTATCTTAGTTAAACGACTGAACATTGACACAAAGAGGCCATCAAAATATTTATACGCAACAAAGAGTAGTTACTATTACATTTGTGTGTGGACCAGTCCTCAAGCCTTCGATCTAGAAGTCTAATCCACAAGACAGTGGGGCAACGCCAAGAGATGCGGTCCCATGGTGGATGGTGACCGAGATTAAGTTTATACGTCATTTGTTCCTTCACGATCCTGAAACCTATGTGCACGAGTATTTTGGAAGTAGGGTTTTTCGGCTGACTTGTGTTGATCTTCCCCCGACCACCAATCCCAGTGAATTTGCTTTTCGTCCTCCCGATTCCATATACAACAACCCTACCTTGAGAAGACACTGAATAGAACTTTCCTGGCAGTGGTTATATACGCGTTTTCGAATGTGGGCATTTTGGAAGGGAGAGCAAACTCTCCCTATCCTCGGGCGTACCAGGCTATTTTGGGGGCTCCGACAATCACATAAATATACTGTTGTGGATGAGGAACTAGACACTATCCTGGTCTTAACACTGCAACCTGAAAAACACAGATTATTCCTGTGGTGCAACCGCACAGGTACCAGAACCCCAGTGGACCTGTTCTGACGTAAAGTATATCTGCTTGGATAGGTACACATACAAGCCAGGCTCGAGTGACAATGTCTTATCGTTAGCACGTTTAAATTAATAACATAACGTGAAAGTTAACCCAAGATGCAGGATGTCTAAATAAACTAGACAGTTTTGAAGGTAGGGAAAAACACCTTTGTACTGTTATGACTAGTTTAAGCTAAAAATGTATAAAGTCTAAGAACTACTCCCTTTAAATATTATGTAAGTTCGAGACGACCCAGGTCGCTGTCGTAACCAGAAAAACTAATGGGCTTTAGTTATCTGCACATACATACATTGCAAATGAATTTTGTTAGTGTCTTACAAATCAATGTTTACAAGCGTCATTCACAGACACAAGCAATTTTAAGAGAAACGAAACCCATACCAAACTTATATAATGGTCACAATGTATGAGGGTGATTGACGAGTTTTCTAGAAATTAAGGGATTGTGACGAACAAAGCTTTCCGATGTGAATAATTCGTCTGTGACTACCCTGAACTAAACTCCCTTACGATGAGCGTTTAAAACGCCTAAACCTTTTCCCCTTGTCGTATCGTAAGAATCGAGGTGACCTTATACTGGCATTTCGTATCTTTAATTATGATTTGGGTGTCAATATGTCTTATCTTTTTGTTCCCTCCAGCACTAATAATCTCCGAGGTCATAGCAAGAAGGTTCATAAACCACGATCTGATAAACTCAAGGTGGGGTTCCGTTTTTCTCATCGAGTAGTCAATGATTGGAACGCTTTGCCCGATCAAGTGGTATCAGCCCCATCAGTGAATATTTTCAAAGAGAAACTGGACCTTCACTGGAAGGCAACCTGTTAGGATTAACACAGGTTCACTAACCTACTATCCTTATTACTGAAGACTGAACTGTAATGTGATTATGATATGGATTTTACAACACCTAGACGAACTATCACCAATCCTATTTAGCTTGCATAATAATAAACTTGAAGCTGGTTTCCACTTATCTAAACCAATCTATTGTCCATAGTTTAAGCCTTACCGGTGTCAGTTAAGGAAGTAACGCCAAAAACCAAATAGAGCGCAACCGAAAGGCCAAAAGGCACATTCTTCAGAGATGATTCGCTTCCAGATTCGGATTCCTGTAGTAAGTACAGATGACCTACGGCTTATTTCAGTACCCTACTAGTATGCTTCTGTGGGTCTCTAGCCATCTATTGGATGAGTCAATTAAAGGTACTGACACCAATGCTTCAAGTAACAGGTTCGAAGATCTGATGACTCATTGTGAAAACCTGTATACCACGGGTATCCTGTTCGTTCTGTGTTTTTCTACGCGCAATTTTTTCAAGATTTTGGGGTGCGGTTCCTCCAGACCTGTTTACTTTTCCGTGTCTATAGCGCCAAAGTCCTTTGGTACATCATCTCGATTGAAATCCGCAGTGAGCATACAATTTATTTTTTACTTTGTATTTAAGGCTAGCTTTCCATCTAGATGATGTCAGTCGAATAAATTTCCTCCCACCTCTAAGGAGGAGTGATCACGCTGTCATCTCATAGAAGTTCATAGGTGAGATGGCCTGTCATACAATTGCGTCGGGCCGTCCTAATATATGGAAAGCAGACATAAAGGCGATCATATCTGAAGCCTCTACTGCATACGAGACAATTGATTTTGTTTATTCTAACCAGATCGAAACAACAGAGAAACTATGACGAGCTAGTAGAACCAAGAACGAAAAAGATACCCGTGGTATACAGGTTTTCACAATGAGTCATCAGGTCTTCCAACCTGTTACTTGGAGCAGTGGTGTCAGTACCTTTAACTGACTCATTCAATAGATGGCTAGATACCCATAGAAGCATACTAGTAGGGTACTGAAATAATCCAAATCTGAAATCTGAGTCTGAATCATGAATGGATACTCCATGACACACATCCCTTGTGCAGCACACTACTATCCAGCTTAGATCAAATGCTTCTTAATAAATCGATAATTTTTACAAAAATGTGTTTAAACTCATTAGCCTCTGACCTATGTTTTGAATGTATTGCTATCCTTCGATTTTTGTGTTACGGACAAATATATCGTCATACCCTGAATATCTGTGGCATCTTTAAGCGTGGCTAACATGAAATGCCCCAAGTACTCAGAAGCAGTATTCTGGATGATGTAAGTGCTGGATTTTATCCACATCACCATAAAATCAATCAAACATTCTGTGAAATGACTGCAAACTGTAACACCATTTATCGGCTTTTGTATCTTAGTTTGCAGTTAGCCACTGATCATGACTTACAAGTAAGAACAGGACCTCATGTTCTACAAGTTGAGTGATAGATAACTAATACGCATAACGTGCAGTTAAATATTTAATGTTGTATCTAAAGCCATCAAAATTATAGGGTACTATCTCTTACTACGTACGTCGAATTCGAGTCATAGATTGTGTTTTGTTGAAGATCTTGGCGTATTAGGACTGTAAATGTTCCAAGTTGTTTGCTATTAAGACACTGAACGATGGTGGGTCAAGACTAGCATTTTTGTATAGAGGGATGAATTCGTTATCTCTTATTGCCGCCCACACTAGCACTTTACATTTAATGCAAAAGTTAGTTGCTAACACAAGCAAGTCCTATTCATTTATTAGTGATACTGGTAGCTTTTATATCCTAGTGAAGGTTAAATTACGAGCGACTTCGGAGAACTATTAACGAAATAACACTATGTATATTCCTACTGTATAACTACACAGTAACTAGATTGCCTATATCTATATTCATCATATCATAAGCCTCATTTTGACCTATAGATTATTATTACACGATTTACTGTTCTTAAAGTATACTGAGTTTATTAATCACCGCCGCTCACGTTCACATTCACTTTTTGGCTTGATCATATGTGAATGTCATTTACAATTTTATAGCGTGATACGGTCCGTTTGACTGGTATATAAACCAAGTATTTTTAAATAAATTATTCGCATAGTACAAGTTGTTATTGGTGTTCTGGACTCAAGTGAAGGGGCTAGGCGAACAAAGGACCGATAAGGACTCTAGGCTGCTCATACTTATCGAACGTCATTGGTTTAGCACAGCACTAAGATTGAATAAGTCACATGTTGATTGGCGGATAAATTACGTAATAAAAACGGCTTTAAAGTCACAACGGTAGTACAGATTCAATTATTTCTAAGGGAAGTTTGTTGTTTACTTACATTGATGTCCATTTAAAACCTACTTGTGACGAGATTACTGATATTGCTGGCCATCAGTTACACATTACTGGCACAGTTAATATTTCATCAAATAAAGAAGAGGATAAATGTGTCAATATTCTTTTCCAAGTTAGTGAGTATGGTTCATCTGTACTTGGTATAAAGGGCCAAAGATTTTTGGATACACACATTCCTTTAACTAATAACTCGTTTGATAATATCTTTGTAGCGGTAAATAAATCCCTAGAATAAATAGCTCTGTAAGTTTTCGACATTGGATGCTGACCATATTGGTTCTAATGGACTCATCTAGCTGAAGGTGCTCGGTCATGCATCCGCACCAGATCACGTGTAGGAACGCCGTGCTCAACATCTACTGCAATCGCTAGCCAGATTAGTTCGGGCGATCCTCGATATATTGATAGCTTATCAAATATATCTTCGAACCTCCTCGCCTCTGTCTTTTGATTTCGCTTGGTGGATACGATTCATATTCGGTGTTACTGGTTAAAGCGTTGTCAAACTCCGAATACCTTCGGCATCTTCACCTTAATCAAAGATCTAGTCTTACGATGCTGGAAGGCTGCGAGAGGTATAAAAATTCAACCATTGCACGTAGAAAATAAGAAAGATCCCATCTTCTTGAAACGTGTATGTGGTGTTTGAATGAACTAATGACTCCTTTGTATTTGTTGAATGTTCGATTTCGAATTCTAAATACAGTACATTCGTTGGTGCTTGTGTAGTACTTCTTGATTCAATTGCGTTATCCCTGGGATTCTTAGTTCATACTATAATTCAATTACTTCTAATTATCATATTGGCGTCGCGATGGAGCCTGCGATGGAACAGTTAGATATTCATTCAACTTCTGAAGCTTTTGAGGACTATTTGGAAAGGTTTGAAATTTGGAGCATGACCAAGAAGGATGTTAAAGGTGATAAAATTGTGGCTTATTTCCTGACATTCATCGGAAAAGAAGCATACAGCTTATTGAAAACCTTGGCATATCCAGAAAAACCTATCTCACTTCCTTATGCAACTATTAAGGAGTTATTATTAAATCATGTAAAGTGCACTAGTTTTGAATGCCGTGAAAGGGAAAAATTTCATAAGATGACTCGTCGAAATGACCAAAAGGTTAAGGAATTCATTCTTGAATTGCAGAAACAAGCTGCCAAATGTAATTTTGGTGATCAACTTCATGTGCAACTGAGAGATCGATTAATTGCAGGAATTAACTTGCCGGGTTTGGAAAGAGAGCTGTTAAGAATGCCGAACTGTTCCTTTCAAGATGCTAGAACTGCGTGTATTAACTACGAGGCAGTGAATGAACTTGATATCCAGTCGATGAATATTTCTAATACTTTGCTTAGTCTTCATGATGAAATACAATCTCAGGGTCAATCAAAATTGCGTTCGTTTAACAGTGGTTCCTATTCTCGTGTAAATATGAAAGATATCTCAACAAGGGATTACAAAAGAAATCACAAAGGTGAGACCAAGTTTGGCAAATGTTTATCATGTGGAAAAATTCATTCTCGTAATTCATGTGCATTTCGTAATGCTAAATGTTTTAGATGTGGTAAGATAGGACACATTCAATCAGTATGCAAAGCTACTATTCATTTTGCCTCAAGTAGTACTAAATCTTGTAATTTAGATCCCAGTGATTCAGCTGTTCCTAATGATCATTTATCTTTGTCTACTGTTTCGAAAGGTAATGCTCATATTCAAAAGCGATTATATACATCGCTTGGTTCATGTCATGACTTTATTGTTGACACAGGCAGTATAGAGTCCATTATTTCATTCAAGAACTTGAAATCTTTAGATCCTAATGTTGTGGTACGACCCACTGAGGTATCAATATTGGGGATTACTGGACACAGACTGCCTATACGAGGATGTTGTGAGTTGCTAATAAGAGATGATAATTCTTCGTACATACCTTGTGAATTTTTAGTTAGCGAAACAGGACTGTCAATATTGGGCTTAAGGAATTTGAAAAGGCTTAAAGTGGAGCTGTCTTTCCTAGTTTCTAAAGAAAACAATGATGCTTTACTTAAAGATTTGATAGCCACGTGTGCTAAGTGCAGTGGAGGTATGAAGATTCAGCCTATAAAACTTCAAGTACAGGGTGAACCAGTATTTCTTAAAAGACGAATAATTCCTTATGGTCTTCGAGAGGCAGTACATAAAACATTAAACGATTTGTGTGCGAAAGGCATAATTGAACCGATCCAGTCCTCAGCATGGGGTACTCCTATTGTTACGCCACTGAAGTCGGATGGCAAAACCCCTAGAATATGTGGTGATTATAGATTAACACTGAATTCCCGTTTGTTGAAGCAAACGTGCACGACGGTAGAGGCTGAAGATATTCTAAATCGACTTCATGGTTCTAAAGTGTTCTCGAAAGTTGACCTAAAAGATGCTTATCTCCAAATCCCTTTAGATCAATCTTCATCTCTTTTGACGACAATTAATACTCCTTTTGGTCTGTTCAAATACAATTTCCTTCCATTTGGTCTAAGTTGTTCTCCAGCTATATTTCGGGAAGTCATGAATAATGTAGTTAGTGATCTTGAGGGCGTTGAAGTTTATCAAGATGATCTCATTGTCCATGGTTCTGATAAGGTAGTTCACAACCAGAGACTTATTGCTTTATTGCGTCGTTTAATTGAGAAGAATATTACAGTGAATCCAAATAAGTGTTCATTTTGTGTATCTAATTTCGAATGTCTTGGATACCTAGTTGATGGTAATGGTTTTAGACCAGATATGAAACGACTAGCTCCACTGACAAATGCACCGTCTCCAAAAAACCTTACGGAACTACGTTCACTAGTGGGTGCTCTTCAATACTATTCCCGTTTTATTCCTAATTTTTCTTGTCGTGCAAATTGTTTATTTAATATTTTGACATCCAATTCATTTAAATGGGGTGAGGAACATGAGTCATGCTTACGTAGTCTACTAAAGTTTCTTCAAAGTGACGCTGTTCTTCGAACTTACTCCCCTAGTGTACAGTCTGTACTTATCACTGATGCATCACCTGTGGATATTGGCGCAGTTTTGGAACAGGAGGGTAGACCAGTTATTTGTGTTTCACGCAAACTTACTGTTACTGAACAAGGTTATTCACAGACTCAAAGAGAAGCATTAGCTGTGTATTGGGCTGTTAAAAGACTCCATAAATATTTATTCGGAAAGAAATTCACTATTGTTACTGATTATGAGGCTTTAAAGTTTATTTATCATCCTGAAAAATCCTTAGCACGTTCCTCAGCTGCTATGGTTCAACGATGGAGTATTGCTTTGAGTGCCTATGACTATACGGTTCAGCATAGGAGTGCCAAACAAATTCAACATGTTGACTACATTTCTCGACAGTCATTACAAGATAAACCTGTAAATACTTCAGACTGTTTGTTAGTGCAACCTTTACCAGTGAAACGTCCAGATCTCATTATAGAAACTCGTAAATACTTTGGATGTATAATTAATGCTATACGGAAAGGTTGGAATGCTAATTTGAAACGTAGATTTCCTATCTATTTTTCAAAGCGGGATGAGCTATCTACTACTCCTGATGGTATTTTGTGTTTAAATGATCGTGTTGTTATTCCTCCTTCATTGCGTAAATCTGTCCTAGAAGATCTTCATAGTGGACATTTAGGTGTTGAAAAAATGAAGTCATTGGCGAGGCTTACATGTTGGTGGCCAGAGATAAATGCAGATATTGGTCGTACAGCAAACAATTGTGAAAAGTGTCATAAGCTGAAAAATCAGCATTCGAAGTGGACTCCATGGCCAGTATCGTCTGAGGCCTGGCAGAGAATTCATGCAGACTATTGTGGTCCGTTTCTTGGCAAATACTATGCGCTTGTAGTTATTGATTCTTTTTCAAAGCGGCCTGAAGTTTTCTTCACAACTTCACCGAATTCTGACTTCATAATTCAAGCATTAAGAAAGGTGTTTAGTCGAGAAGGGGTTCCAATGGTGTTAGTAACTGATAACGGCTCTCATTTTGCTGCAGATGCAGTCACTACCTGGTTGAATGGTATAGGGTGCAAACATCTGTTTACTGCTCCCAGACATCCTTGTTCCAATGGTCAGGCAGAAAATTTTGTCAGGACGTTAAAAACTGCCATTGATTCTATTGCTGCCTCAACATTTAATGAGCTGGAGAGGGGAGTAGATACCTTTCTACTGCAATATAGAAATGCCAGACATTCGGTGACGAAAGAGACTCCATCAAAACTATTAAAAGGAAGAACTCTTCGGTCGAATAGGAGATGTTTGGAGTCTGCAGAAGTTACATATTATCGTGGCAATGATCTTCGACCATCCACGGGAATCGTTCTGAAGAATGTCGGGAAATCTATGGTGCGACTTCTAGATATCAATGACTTAAGTACACACAATCGACATGTTGATCAAATACAATTGCAGCAACCAGGTGAGTCTGTTCCGATTTCAGTTGTTAATTCTAATACTAATGAGTGCATTCTAGATAATACAGAGTCTTTATCCAATACATTATCGGACAGACACAGCATGAACTTGAGGAGAAGACTTACAATTGATTACAGACACTTAGACTCTAATTTAAGCTGTGGCGGATGTGGTGTTTGAATGAACTAATGACTCCTTTGTATTTGTTGAATGTTCGATTTCGAATTCTAAATACAGTACATTCGTTGGTGCTTGTGTAGTACTTCTTGATTCAATTGCGTTATCCCTGGGATTCTTAGTTCATACTATAATTCAATTACTCCTAATTATCATAGTGTACTAATTCCTTATTGTTTTGGAAAGTCTGTAAAGAATGTGCTGGATAAACTGGTACATAAAAGGATAATGATCCCAGCTGAGTCGTCCAGTTAGGATACTCCTGATGTGACTCAATTAAATCCGGATGAAAAAACGCCAGGAATTCGCGGTAATTACCGCTTTTCACTAAAACCTCGGCTATCGAAACAGAGTTGCACAACTGAAGAAACCGATCTCATTCTACGTAAATTTCGAAGATAAATGTATTTTTCTAAAATTAGCTTGAAATATGCATGTTTGCGAATTCCATTGAGTGGAATCACTTGTAAAATAACTAATGTTAACACACCATTTGGGCTGTTTAGTTTCAAAGTCATACTGTTTGAATTCAAAGCTTCCCCTGAGATATTTCAGAGAGTTCTAATTCAAAATACCACCAATCTTGGTGGTGTTGAATGTGTAGTGACATACTTTTGTCAACAGAACACGATTGGTTCGATGAAAACAATTATTATTATAACCAATTGTACCAGTGACTGTTTTACTGTGCTCGTTTGTTTAACTGTGCTAATAACAGCCATTTTGGGCTTCCATTGTATTCCGTTGCTTTTACGCGGTTTTTGGACTACGCACGTATCTTATCTTGCCGATCGCAACTGTACTCCTTTGGCACGATCTCGGTATTCTTTCGATACCACGAGATCGCCAACAAATATATACGACTACTACAATCATCTGCCTTCTGATATTTTGGCCTATCGGAATTTTATTGGTCTATTGGCAAGTAGTCTGGTAGCGGTGTTCATAGTTCAGCTCAACTCGACACCACGCTACATTTGGTGATCCAAATTTTGGAACACGCCTCAACCTCGGTCAAATCTTTCAAAGAAGGCAATTCGGTGAGTCTATTGTTTTATCTATCCACGTCTGTCATATATTTTCATATTAATTTTTAATATACAATATATTTGACATGACGGATAACGATAAGAATAGTATTAATATAATAGACTCCGATGTACGCGTACCGAATCCTCGGAACTTTTTATTCGCGTGACGATAAATTCCACGCCTTATTCGAGAAATTCCCCAGATTAACTAAACCATTCGAGGAGATTTCATCGGTGACCAATCGTGTGGTACACCACATAGTCACCCGCGGACCACCAGTCACGGCAAGACCACGCCGACTGGCACCGGACAAATTAGCTTTCGCTAAACGTGAGTTTGACAATTTACTATCTTCTGGTATTATTCGTCCTTCTCACAGTCCTTGGGCCTCTCCTTTACACATGGTGCGCAAAAAGGATGGGGTTAGTTGGAGACCTTGCGGCGACTACCGAGCATTAAACGTAGTTACGCGCCTTGATAGCTACCCCATCCCCCACATACACGACATCACGGCATCGCTCAAGGGCACGACTATCTTTTCTAAAATCGATCTGGTACGAGCATATCACCAGATCCCAGTCGCTCTTGAAGACATCGAGAAAACTGCTATCACGACTCCTTTCGGTCTGTTTGAGTTCCTACGAATGCCATTTGGATTACGGAATGCTGCTCAAACTTTCCAAAGGTTTATCGATAGCATAGTACGAGACTTGGATTTTGTTCACGTCTATATTGATGACCTGCTGATCGCATCATCAAACGTAGATGAACATTATCAACACCTTACGCTATTATCCCAACGTCTTTCGGATAATGGAATAGTAGTCAACCCAGAGAAATGCGAATTGGGTAAATCAGAAATAATATTTCTGGGTCACATCATCAAACAAGAGGGTATTCTGCCTTGCGAGGACAAAGTTCGAGCAATCAAGGAGTACAACGTGCCGTCCTCAATCAAGGAACTGAAGGCTTTTCTCGGTTTGGTTAACTTCTACCGACGTTTTATCCCTCACGCGGCAGAACGGTTACGACCATTAACCGATTTACTACGCGGTAATCCACGCAAATTAGAACTGAACGATACCGCACGTACTGCATTCTCAGAGATCTAAACGGCTCTCGCTGAAGTTACACTCCTCGCTCATCCTGACCCATCAGCCACGCTTAGTATAGCGGTTGATGCATCGGATTTCGCTATAGGAGCCGTTATGCAACAGAATATCTCCGGTAGTTGGCAACCCCTTGAATTTTTCTCACGACGCCTTACTCCCACGGAGACGAGATATAGCGCTTTTGGTCGCGAACTGCTTGCAGCCTACTGCGCCATCAAACATTTCCGGCACGCAGTAGAAGGACGTCAATTCATCTTATTCACCGACCATAAGCCCTTAACGTATGCCCTGCATACCAAGTCTGACCGCTACTCACCACGAGAGTGCAGACATTTGGACTATATCTCACAGTTCACGACAGACCTTCGTCACATTAAAGGCGAGTCGAACTATGTTGCCGATGCTCTTTCACGTATCCAGACGAAAGCAGTTACTTTACCGGTGCTCGATCTTCCTGCTATGGCCGCCGCGCAAGCAAACGATCCTGTCTGTACAGAAGCACCACAATCTTCGTCCCTTCAGTGTCAGGAAGTACCCCTAGCTACTAGCTCAGGTACTATCCTATGTGATATTTCTACCGGTCTACCTCGACCCATCGTACCCTCTACCTATCGCCGTCTCGTCTTCGATGCCCTTCATGGATTGTCTCATCCAGGTATCGCAGCCACATTACGTCTCATCGCTGCACGATACGTCTGGCTGTCCATGAATAAAGATGTTCGTATGTGGGTAAAGCAATGCTTACAGTGTCAACGATCAAAAGTGCACAGGCACGTAGCTGCCCCCATTGGCACGTTCGCTACGCCTGATGCTCGCTTTGATCACGTTCATATAGACATTGTAGGACCATTGCCACCATCGCATGGGTATGATCACATACTCACGTGCATTGACCGTTTTACAAGATGGCCCGAAGCTATTCCCATCACGTCTATCACGGCGGAGACAGTTGCTCACCGCTTCGTAGAACGATGGATAGCATTGTACGGTTGTCCCTCGACTGTCACGACTGACCGAGGACAACAATTTGAGTCCGCATTATTCTCCTCACTGACCCGGCTGCTTGGTACGGAACGCATACGCACTACCGCCTACCATCCAGCATCGAATGGTTTAGTCGAAAGGTTTCACCGCCAACTTAAAAGTGCTCTCCGAGCACACGAAAACGACAATTGGTACGAAACCTTACCGCTCGTTCTCTTAGGCATCAGAACGAGTTTGAAGGCAGATATTCAATGTTCCGCCGCTGAACTTGTATACGGCACGACATTGCGTCTGCCTGGGGAATTCTTCACACCACGGAGCAGTAATGATTTCGGTAAGTCAGACTACGTCCATCGACTGTCTGCATTTATGCGAACGCTGTCTCCGGTGTCAACTCGAATACAACATCGACAGGTCGCTCTCCCTCGAGAGTTATCTACCTGTTCACATGTTTTCATACGAGTAGATTCGGTACGCAAACCTCTACAACAGCCTTACGAAGGCCCTTTTCACGTGATCTCTCGTCACGAAAAGACCTTCAAGGTTGATCGACACGGCCGCGTCGAGATCGTCAGCATTGATCGTCTCAAACCAGCACACGTCGATGACAGTGCCCTACCCAATAACTTGAGACTCAATGCTAGACCTACCAAACCTTCTAGCGGGATCTCTACGTCTACCTCGGATCCCACGCTAGATACATCAGAGACCTCGTTCTCACGTCCCGGTCAACAGCACGCGTCATCTGCACCATCTACGGACGAGACTTCCGTCTCACGTCCAGATCGGCAGACCACGCCTCCCTTGACCTCGGATGAGATCGCAGGCTCACGAAGCACGAACGAGACCACCGTCTCACGTTCCGGTCGCCGGGTACGATTACCCGTACGCTTTCGCGACTAAACGCACAGTCAATAACATACGGTGTAGGATTATTCCTATACTACACGCATGCTACACTTTTCTTTTTTTTGATTTTTTTTTGTATCCTGAGCCCACGCCTCCGACCATCGTCCATTTGATAACGTCGACTTCAGTCAACTTTGGCGAAAGCTGGTTTGGCCACCCACGCTCTAGTCAACGCACTCAGTCGATTATCTGGTCTCGAATTCGCCTGGCATATGCTTGGTAGTTATGGTCGCGTCCGGTTTCCTGGCTCAACGTGGTTTCGTCCTACGTCTGCAGCGTTTTCTGGTTCACATCCCTACGAACGCAATCATCAGATTCTGGATACAAACCACTCTGGTGTGGTATGCTAACTCGACCAACAAATACAGCACACTTCTCCTGGTACCGTTCTGCGCAAAAGACCTTCGTTGGAAACTCGAGGATCAATGATCACTTCCTGTTCCGCCAATTTCCTCCGTCCTACAACCGCAATTCTGCCGATCAGTCCCACGAATCAAACCGCTAACTATCGAAAGTGTAAACCCTTTCTAGCGGGGGGCTCCTGTAGTGACATACTTTTGTCAACAGAACACGATTGGTTCGATGAAAACAATTATTATTATAACCAATTGTACCAGTGACTGTTTTACTGTGCTCGTTTGTTTAACTGTGCTAATAACAGCCATTTTGGGCTTCCATTGTATTCCGTTGCTTTTACGCGGTTTTTGGACTACGCACGTATCTTATCTTGCCGATCGCAACTGTACTCCTTTGGCACGATCTCGGTATTCTTTCGATACCACGAGATCGCCAACAAATATATACGACTACTACAATCATCTGCCTTCTGATATTTTGGCCTATCGGAATTTTATTGGTCTATTGGCAAGTAGTCTGGTAGCGGTGTTCATAGTTCAGCTCAACTCGACACCACGCTACAAATGTTATTAATTTAAACCTAATCTGCTGATATAAGAAAATGAGATGTGTGTTTTATATTTAATAACTTTATAATGTGTATGTGCTCGATATGTTTTGGGCTGAAAAATGACATCCATCTAACTTAATACAACACTTAAATATTTCATTTCAACTATATAGTTTCATTACACCAACCCTTGTATAGATACGTTGTGCCATTCCCAAGTACACTGAATCTCAAATAATTTCGGTTTCGGCCTTATTTATACAACTGAAGCCACGAAACTGTATGACAAGTCTTAAGTTACACTTGGAGCTTAAATGTCATAAATTTACGTCTGCAATGTTGTCACGTCCAAGTTGAAGTACAGTATATCAATCTATTTGCAGTTTCCGAACCCAAATTACCAATAGAACCAAACTCCAATTTAGGTACCAAAGTTAATTCGCAATTTACAAATGGTTGACCCAAGTGTCGTTCTTCAATTTTGTAGGTTCCCAGAGCAAAACCACACAAAACCAAACCAAAAACAAAGAGAAGCCGAAATGTCCGAAAATAATAATACAAACAAACAAGTTCAGAAGTTCAGTAAAACAAAAACATCCAAGAACGTAGTGAAATTAGGATTATTTAATATCAAGGTTTTAATCAGCCAAATATCTTCAATTCTTCCGCAACAAACGTTATACTAAAAATTACCATTTTTAATTTCTTCTACTGCTTATATAAACTGATAAGGTCTGTGAAGTAGCTGATCCCACTGCTCACCTCATGTAAAGTATCTTCGTTCTTTCATGACTTACCTCTGTTTAATATGGTGTTTTGGATGTTCTTTAATTGGAGGATTATTTAGTGATGAATCGCTTATGTACCCAGCATGCAAAAATAAATATGACACCCATACATCAAAAGTAGAAGATCTGAAGTGGGACAGATAGCACATTACTTAAGACCACTACTATTCTAATACTATCTTTCCAAGAAACAAATAATCGGTGAAACGGTACACAAGTTTAGATAAGTTGTTGAATACCTCAGGTTCAAACTGGGCCCTTTTATCTGTCGCTATTGTAATAGGTACATCAAAAATGGTCGCCCAGTCATAAATGCAAGCTTTGACCATTGTTTCAGCTGTGCTATCAATTATCAGTATGGCTGTAGGAAACCCTGTGAGTCTATCTATGAATGTAAATAGATAATTAAAACCATCAGAACGAGGCGTATTTCGGTTTATGAAATGGGCTGTCATAATAGTCACCTAAAAAGACTTTGGATACAGTTAAAATAATGTAACCATATTAAAATATTATCGTCCCGCACTGATATAATAACTAAACTGACAAGTAGTTATTAGTCACACAAACGTTCAGAATCGAAACTCTGGAACGTACGACTAAAATTAACACTAAGTGAGCAAATACTTCTGGATCATGACTCATAATATAATCAGCCATCTTGGATTAGTTTATGCCACAAACTTCTAGTATTTCAGAATCAAGCAAACCAACAATACTCATTTCATACTGGCCAATCCCCAATCTGGTTAGCGTTATTTTAGCCAGTTTGTAACGGAAAAAGAACGATGAAAATCCCTACACAGTTTTTTTTGTTGGACAGTGTTTTCATTCATTTGTTTCTTCTTCCTGTTATATATTTCAACCTTTGTTCATATCTCGTTTCAGCTTTTATTATATAATTTTGATTGAAAACTTATCCCTTTGTTACTTAATTTTATTGCATGTTGCCGGACTATTGACAGTGAGGTCATGTTTGACTAAGCTCAAGGTCACGGCGTGATTAAGTGTGACTGTTAACCCTTTGACTGTCTGCTTGGGAGGATTTCTGGTATCCCTGCAGATAGATATTTTGATCCCGTTTGTTGGGAATATATTCGTTGATTCTCAGGTATCAAATCCTTTGGTGTTGACTGTTCCTTTTATTTTTTAGCACACTACTTTGCGTTAGAGAAACTTCTGACTGTATAGCACAGGCTGTACCGTTTGAGGTATTTTGTATTTTTGATATAATTTGTTCTATTTCTTAAATTAGAACCGTATAAATTGAGCACAGAATTTGTGTTTTGATATAATTTAATACGAGTGTCTCAAAAACGCTTGGCGTGCTATACGGAAGATCGTAGTCTGACCTATTCGAATACAACTTGGTTCGTCAGTCCTACGTTCAGCCCGAATACTGGTAGTTCGGTCGTTACAGTTCTCAAACGAACAGTAATTACTGGTAACAAACACTTCAATGCCTGGCAAGCGCAACAAGATCAGCGGAAACATGGTGTTGGGTCATGAAGAAATGCAGACAAAGGCGCCTCCTGATATACGGCAAGTCCTTTTTGATACATTTTCATGTCATGGCTCTAATACTAGTTTAGTTAGTAGGCATAGCAAGATTAGCTCTCGAATCCCCTAGCAGAGTTAAAAGAAAAGCAGTTGAGGTAAAGACAACTAGTAGAGATTAGAGATTTGAAAGATAGGCAGAGAAAGCAGCTGTTATGCCTTCAGAGAGAGTTAGGGACGTTAAGACTAAAAGAAAACGTGTGTAGTGAAGCATCTACTGCCTCCAACTGTGATGACAGAGGACAGGAGTATGTCCACAGTTTCTCAAGCCATCCTCATGACATTAGAATCAAGTCCCCAGAGAGGTCAAAACGGTTAGATCATCCTGGAGCGAAGAAGAGGGAAGTGACCTTGACATCTCTAAGTGTGGGTCTTCAGCTCCCAAAGGTTCAACTAAGTACTTTTGATGGTCAACCAGCCAAATATTGGAAATTTGTCAGGCAATTTGATTTATATGTGGTATCAAAGGTCGAAGACGATGGTCAACGGCTTTTATACTTGTTACATTATTGCAAAGGAAAAGCTCGAGAGGCCATAGAAGAATGCTTAATGCTTCCGCTATCATCGGGCTATCGCAGAGCATGCAATATACTGAAACGGTTGTTTTGAAGAACACATGAAGTAAGCCGGGCTTTGCTAAATGACTTGACTGGAGGTCCCAATATAGAACACAACGACGGAGAAAGTCTACCTAGGTTAGCGATAAAGATGGAAAATTGCTCTATAGCCTTAGAACAAATGGATTATTCAGCGGATCTCAACTCGGTAGTAACTATAGAAAGTATAGTAAAGAAATTGCCCACGGCTTTACAGATGAAATGGGCTGAAACCGTCGGAAAGATGACAGCAAGTGGTAGAGAGCCTACTTTTGCAGAGTTAACAGAATTTGTATCATCTAGAGCAGAAGTTTTACTCAGCAGATTTGGGCAGATTGCAACAGCTAGTAAACGGGTTGTAAGCAGGGTGGCCTGCTCCACACAAGGATTGTCGTTCGGTAAAATTGTTGGCAAGTCACCTTGTGTTATATGCGGAGAAAATCATAGGATTGATAAATGTTCCCAGTTCTCCACATTAGCAGTCAACGATAAGTGGGCGAAAGCGAGAGAAAAGGGTTTGTGTTTTTGTTGTCTTAGAAGGGGCCACAGATCACTAGATTGTAATGATCGTGTCGCGTGTACTATCGAGGGTTGCCAGGATCGGCATCACCCATTGTTGCATAAACCCTTTCAAGTTCAGGGCGGCTTGAGTGAGCCGTTAAAAGAAAGTCATTATGGGTACACAGAATCACCAAAATAGGATGTGTTTCTTGGTCTAATCCCTGTACGTATTAGAGCTAAGGATAAGGAAGTTTGTGGTTATGCCTCTCTAGACAACGGCTCAGATACAACCCTAATAAAGTCAAGCGCGGTACGACTCTTAGGTTTATCGTTAGAGAGTGAATCGATTGCCATCAAAACAGTAAACGGAAATAAATTGGTCAGATCGAAAACCAAAGCATTTGAAGCCTACTCATTAAGCGGAAACGAATGTATATGTATTGAACAGGCTGTTATAGTAGATGACTTGCCTGTGCATAGACCAAGAGTACCTGTGAAGGACAGTGCTAAGAAATGGCCCCATCTTATGGACTTACCTTGGACAGAATCAGTGGATGGAGAAGTTATTTTGCTTATTGGATGTGATGTGCCTGAAGCTCATTGGGTCTTGGATCAAAGGTTGGGTGGAAGAAAAAGCCCTTATGCTATTAAGACACTGCTAGGATGGGTTCTGTTTGGACCGGCAGGTTATAACAAAAACAGTAAAAGGATAGTAAACTATATTTCTCAAACCGGTGACTCTGTAGAACAGCTGAAGAAAATATATAACTATGAATTTGCTGACGTCCATTCCTCCGATAAAGCATTATCTTTAAACGACTTCAAGGCAGTTAGCATAGTAGAGGGTGACACTTATTTTGACAAAGGTCATTGGGTTGTCCCTTAACCTTGGAAGGTGGAAAGAAATGTAGTATCCGGTAGTTATGCTCTAGCTAGACGAAGATTAGAAAGTCTAAGACGCATACTCACATTCAATAAGGATTTTAGGGAGAGCTACACCCATGCCATGCAGCAGACGATTGACAAAGGGTATGCGGTTGTGGTTCCAGGTATGCAGCTCGATCCGGGTTATCATCCAAAATGGTACTTGTCTCATCATGCTGTGATTAACCCCAAGAAACCAAGCAAAGTGAGAGTGGTATTGGATTGTGCTGCTAAGGTGGCTGGTAAATCTTTGAATGACCTTCTCTACCAAGGTTCAGATACTACAGCATGTTTAGTAGGTATTCTGTTACGTTTCCGCAGGGAACCGGTAGCCGTTTCTGCGGATGTGGAAAAAATGTTCATGCAAGTAAAGGTCCCGAAGCCCGATTGTGGGGCGCTACGTTTCCTTTGGTGGCCGGAGGGTGATATCGAGAAGGAACCGATAGAGTATCTGATGACATCACACCCCTTCGGGGCTATATCCTCACCCTTCTGTGCAAACTTCGCATTGATGAAGACGGCTCAAAAATTCTCTGGTGA